TTTCCCAATATCTCGCCATCATCTTGGCGCTCTGGTACTTTTCCGTCCGGGTCAACCCCCTGACCGCTGCAATGTCACTCTTTCCCACCTTGGCAAACTTCTCCTCCTGTATTCTGGCGAATGATTCTTGTTCCGAAAACGCCGTGGAGATCAGGTCCCGGACGTCCTGCATAGTACGAGGCGTTTTCTGGCCTGGTTGGACCAGACGGAACAGCTGTCCGGAGATGCCGTGACCCACGAGTCTGTTCGGAAAGGTCACATCCAGAAGTTCTTCCTCGGTGGCGACTGGCATGCCAGTCTTTGGCTCAAGAACGGTGCTGGGAATGGTGATGCCTTCGTTCAGGTAGGCTTCGGCGTCGCTGATCATCTTGGCCACAGAAAGGAGGCGTTGGGTGATGAGACTGCCGCAGCCGGGCTCACAATACTGAGAGAAGTCTCCATCTCCGTACCCGTGTCCGACGATGCCCGGTCGTCTAATTACCAGGTCCGCGTCAGTACGCTGATCCAAATGGAACGACCTACACCGAACACTACTTACACATCGCCCTTGTATATCTCCGGCAAGCCACATGTGGTCCAAGGGACTTCGATGATTCGCTTACATGCTGGGCAGTCAAGGAACTTCACCATTGGTCCCTCAATGTTGTTCCATGTTCTACCGGTCTTTTGTTCCCAGTTGGATTTGGTGGAGTCGGAAACTTCATAATCGAACTTGGAGGTGATTGCCTGGTTGACTTGCGCCCAGGGCATGCCTGTCGTCCAGAAAGACTGAAGACCCCAACGCATGGTGTCCTCGAGAAAAGCCCTTGGGTTCAGCATGTGCGAGTGCCAAACCATGAGTACGTCTGATACCGTCAGCTTCTACAACGCGTTCGTGGCTCTCGGATTTGGTCGCTTACCCAGAGGTGGTAGATTATCAACGCTCCAGGGATAGTCTTTGCTCCCGTCGGGGAATTTCAAATACTTCTCGGGGGACTTGTCAACGTTTCTCATCTCTGCCTCGCGAAGACGAGTCTCCGAGAGTGTCTTCCACCAGGTCTCGTAACGGTCGACAGCCCGCGCCAAGTAGACGGCCCACCGCTTCTCGCGAATCATGGCCAAAAGCCTCTTCGCACGGTCCTCGGAATCTTTGCTTGAACCGCTCTTCTCCTCAGCCTCAGAACCAGGTAGAGGCCCCGCGCGGACATCCCACAAGTCCCAGAGGCCATCTGTGTAGCCGACTTCATTCTTCAGCGTCTGGATGGCGTACAGAAGCTTCAGGTGCGCGAGGCAGGAGTCTACGTCCGGGTCCCTCTGGGTGCCTAGTCTGAGAGAGCTGAATGCGGCCGTGATGTTAGCGACATTCGCTTCAGTGTGCGGCCTCCTCCCGTCGGTGTCGCCATTGGCTTCGAACGGCGGCGGCTGGTCTCCGAATGGCGGGGGTTCTTCTTGCGTGGCTTTGTATGTTGGCGGGGGTGTGGCGGGACGCCCTGCATTTGCATTTTCCTCTTCTGCCTCCTTCTCCTTCGCCTTGGACCTCTTGAAAAATGAGGGCATTACTATGACTCAGCGTCGACACCAATAGAATGGTGGTGTGGTTAGGGGCAAATATTGAGGAATGCGGGGTAGAAAGCGTCGTGAGATAGATAATAGGGACCCAGGCAGCCAGGATATGGCAAACCAATGCTTTTCCAAAGACGCAAGCAATGCCTGAGAATTTAGACAGAAGGGGCATAAATAGAGACAGTATCTGTATAAAGAGACCACTGGGTTCAGCAAGGCTTGGAACCGGTAGATGGAGAAAGTTCTTGGGTCTGCCCTGCAGCCTGCCTTACTTTAGTGTACATCGGGCGAGGTGATCACAGGACCAACTGCATATCTCCAGGGCGTTTAGGCAGACTAATAGCCAATCTAAAGTGACATTCCTTGGTATGCCATTAGTGCAGTGGCGGCGCAGTCCTCAGAACAAGACCTGAACTTCCTGGCCTAGAACGCCACCAAAAGCTTCGACAGACGTACAAGACGATCTAATCGGGCGAAGGGGGCCCTTCCATTACCCCAGGGACTATGTCTAAATGGGTTAGTACAGCAAAGCTAGACATAGGTACAGTGCTTATATGGCGTGGAAGATTACGCTTATGTATAGTCATCCTGCTCATCCAACAACAACTGTTGTGGCCGCCCATCTTTACCCGCCTGGTCTTCGTCGCGTCGTTCTATCTTCTCACACAACACTTTAGTGCCAGCTATCATCATAACGCCGCAACCGGGTGCCACACAACGGTTCCTAACTAGGTAGGACTATAGGTACTAATGCAAGACCTCATTGTCATGCAAACAGCGGCAATCTCTAGCCGAAGCTGACAAATGCAAATACGAATTGGCCTTAGAAGGAGGGTGAGACGAAGCCTATTCTGCTCGTCCCAGATCTCAAGACAGGCAACGTAACGAAAGATCTTTCGGAAATACGTATGGACTGGTTGTTCGTCATCAAACAGCTTCACAAATGGAGCAAAAATTTGCACGAACTCGGAAAACAATTCGTCCATCGTAATAAATGACCTGTGCAGCTTTTTTGCCGGTTAGGGATGTTCTGGGTTATAGGTCCGGCTGCCAGCAGTCATGTAGCCCTAGCATAGAGGCCTTTCTTCGACCCAGCAGTTCTGCTACCACCATGACCCCTTGACAACCGTCCATCGACTGCCGTGATCTAATCCTCATGAGCTGTGCCCGTGATGTATATAATACGGTGCCCCGGCACTCAGCTGCGGATTAATCTGTTTATCTCATCCGCTTGTTCCATCATATTTGGCGGTCAGAGACACCTGAAGGTCGTTTCCTTGTTCGTTGATACTATGTTTACCAATTCATCATGTGCAAGCATTGAGGGGCGCACTAAATACCTATCACCATGTTTGTAATTTCGCGGGATAGTGACCATGCTATAATCCGAAACACACACACCGAACAACTTCTCAACTGTAGCTTATGACCGAATGATTCTGATCCGGTCTTGTAGTTCCTGAGAAAGACTTTCTTGATGATCGAGCACATATTCCCAGTTCCTCTTGACCACGTCGAATACATCATGGTTGTTCAATGACGTAAGCGCATCTAGCTCGAGGCTGTGGATATCCTTTCACATTTCCTCAATCCGCCGAGACCATGAGCTCAAAATTGTGTTATTGCTCAGTTGTGTGTTGGGAAGACGGGAAATCTGCACCTTAGTAGTCAGTGATAGCTTTCACAGGATGGCAGCGGGCAGACTTAAAATGTGTGGCCTTACTTTTAATGAAAAATGGTTGAGAACTGACATCCAGAATTGTGCCCATTTCTCGATGATCTGGTAGATGATGGACTGAAAGACGGTAACTCCTGTGAGCTCGCCGCAGAGATCGGCCAGTTGGCTTTGCTGTAGGTAATCTCCATCCACGGTTCCGTCCAGGACTTCTGGGCAGTCCGTGAGTGTGACCAAAGTGTAGCACGGAGTGGCCAAACGTAGGGATGTAGTTATGGCGATCGAAACTCGTTCTTCAATGATGTACTTATTTTGGAAACCAGGATACTCAGGAGTAGGAATATTATCTCGACAAAGATAGTATCCCTCAGTATTTGTTGTCTGTGCGACCGGCATGGAGAAAGTGATGGGTATCGAATGTGGAGCTGTAAATGGGCTTCATTGCCGTTCGCGTAGCACCACCTTGTCCAAGGGTCTGTCAATAACGGCCCTGCATATCTCCTGATAAATGACATGACGCATTGTGCCATGTCATGAGTGCAGTCATCATCCCTGCCTGCCAACTGAGTGAAGACTAAGGCAGTCCAAGAAACGTGGCAATTTTACGCGCCTGTGCATCGTCGCGGGCTTTAGAGAGGACCAAGTACTTGAGATAAATTTCTCAACATAATAATACATGTCGTGGGCGCCGAGATTCCATAATGAAAGGCATAACTTCAGCGTACATGGAATGGCATTAGGGTGCTCTATACACATATCGCAGTGTCGATTCTTCAAACATAGAGGGGGTACATGTAAGTGCTGGCCAATCGTCCGAACCGTCAAATAATGGGGATAACTCATGGGCGAGATAAAAGCGTGTCCAATAAACAGAGCAGATATCATGAGATGAGCTATTCAGGCCAATCGTCGAGCTGTTTGGGCTCAAGCTTCATTTAGGCTTAATTCGTTGCCACAAGATACAACTACCATGAAGCCCCCGCGCCCAAGGCAATGAAAAGAGTTCGGCCCTTCCCCTCACTGCATAGCATGTCTCTATTAAAGTAAGCTTTCTCCAAACTCAAAAACTGAAGTATCATGGACAGAGGGCATAGACTTGGGGCACATCAACCCCCAATCAATCAACCTGAAACTGCTAACCCTACTTTTTGAGAACTTGACGTTCGACAGAGGCCGTCCTTGAGATGCTGTCATCTGAACCCGGCGGAGACTGAGGAATATGAATGTCTAACAATACTGGCATCCCTGACGACGATTCGACATGCACGTGGCGCTTCGGAGCCAAGCTCTCCGCGGGATCACCATGGCCCAAGATTTTCCAAGCCGCGTGGTGACCCCCCGGGCATCCCTAATGCGGCCAACGTCCAGGTACCGGCGGCTCGGCGCCAATGCTGTGGCCGGCCTCCAAGCAATATCCCCGCCGTCGATGCCCCGGCCGCTTTGGTTCTCACGGCACGAAAAAGTAATTTCAGAGTCTCCGAGTCGCTCGGCACGGAGAAATACAGAGATCGTCCCGGGACCCTTGGAGCCATATCAAAATGAGGGACAGACGTGTTCCACGTAACCCTTGAACCTTGCTCTGACTGTGCCAGTGAAAAGGGCCAAGCTTCGGAATCAGGGCCTACGTCCCATCTTGGCAGGACGGTCAGTGTTGTATAAGAAGAGGGGAAAGTGTCTACTTCAGATGAGTATCGTGGGACGACAGCACCTCATTACAAAACATCCACGGGTTAGAAATTCTTCCCCATAACCGATTCTCTGTTGTATCCAGCCCTCTTTCATGATGGTCGTCGCTCAACTCCTTCTCGCTGCGGCTCTTGCGCCGGCCGCTCTGGCAAGCCCTCTCAAGTCCCGCGATGTGGCATCCTACGAGGGGAACCCACTGGCAGACAGGCAAATGTTCCCTAACCCCTATTACGCCGATGAGATCAAGACCCAGGCCATCCCGAAGCTGAGCGGAGAGCTCGCGGAGAAGGCCGCCAAGGTCGCCGAAGTCCCCTCCTTCGCGTGGCTGTAAGTGTTTCGATTGGAGCCGAAGCGTCGAAAGGAACGTCACACTAACAAACCCTAGTGACACCCGTGAAAAGATTAGTCTGATGAACAGCACTCTGGCGCAAATCCGCCAGCTTAACCAACAGGGAGCCAATCCGCCGTTCGCCGGCACCTACGTCATATACAACTTTCCTGACCGTGACTGCTCGGCAAAGTCCTCGGCCGGTGAGCTTGTGATCGCCGAAGATGGCCTCAGCAAGTACGAAAAAGAATACATCGACCCCATCGCCGCGCTTGCCAAGGAGTACTCGGATGTTCGCCAGGTGTTTATCTATGGTAAGAAGCGGAACCTGGCGTGTAATGGTAATTCACGGCGTGCTGATCAGGAGTACAGAGCCCGACGGTCTTGCGAATCTCGTCACAGTGAGTTCTTAAACGACCTTCCGCCCGGTGGTGATGAAAAACTGACGAATAGTAGAACATGGGCGTTGCCAAGTGCGCCGGTGCTGCTGACACGTACAAGGCGGCTACCGACTACGCCTTCAAGACTCTCAACCTCGACAACGTCGCCATCTATGCCGACGCTGGCCACGCAGGTTGGCTTGGCTGGGACGGTATGCCAAAGCTCAAAACCGCTACAACTTGTGTTTGATTGGCTGACTTGGAATCATATAGCCAATCTGCAGCCGACGGCGGAGCTGTACGGCCAGGTATTCAAGAAGGCCGGGTCGCCCAAGGCGGTCCGCGGCCTCGTGACTAACGTGTCCAACTACAATGGCTGGAACCTAACCACCGCGCCGTCGTACACGTCGGGCAACAAGCAGTGGGACGAGTCCAAGTTCCACGCCGCGCTGACACCGTTCCTGAAGACGGCCGGGTACCCGGCCAACTACCTCGTCGACCAGGGCCGCAGCGGCAAGCAGCCGACGGGGCAGCAGCAGTGGGGCGACTGGTGCAACGTCAAGGATACCGGCTTCGGCGCTCGCCCGACGGCCAAGACCGGCGTCGACACGCTGGACGCGATCGTCTGGGTCAAGCCGGGCGGTGAGGGCGACGGGACCAGCAACTCGACCGCGACGCGCTACGACGAGAAATGCAGCTCAGCGTCTTCCGTCACCCCGGCCCCGGAAGCTGGGGCTTGGTTCCAGGAGTACTTTGTGCAGCTCCTAGAGAACGCTAACCCCGCCTTCTAGATGCCCGTTTGGGAACCTGCTAGTGGTTGGTGCATTTGCATGCTTTTATCTTCTCGGGTATATGAATAGGGAATAGGAAGTCAAGTGTCTTCGGAACACATATCTTGAGTTAGTTTACGAAACAAAAGTTGTCTAGTTACTTTATTGAAAGTCGCGAGGAGACAATCGCAGTTTTATGATATCGCCTATTGCTAGCTTTCCGTTGGTAACTTGATGACGCGATAGCCATCCGACACTCTGTCAGAACCCTCGATTGACAAAGATAACCGCGAGACCTCAACTGTTCAAGTATAGCCTTGAAACCTCGTGTAGCATTCATCGCTGCGTCATGACATCTTTTCTCCGAGTGAAAACCCTTACTAATACCAGCAGCTTCAGTCGTCACCGAGACTGCGTCCATGGCTTCGCTGGCGGCCCCGCATGCCCCGGCAAAGCGCCTACGATCTCATCCCGTTTGGGGGTGGCACCGCTCCGGTCCGAGCTTCCACGAAGACTTCCACCAATCGGCGTTGAATCGTGAATTGGCGGAGTATGAGGGACTCAATGTACGGCGAACGCACCGTGACGGAGTTTCTGTGATGAGAGAGCCCTCTTAATGCTAGACTGATGAATCTTATTCGTCGAATCCGAGGCAGTATATACGGCTCCTTTCAACATTTTTAAATCATTGATCGCAGTCGTTCCGTCTATACTTTAGTGTTCCTTACCCGGTCTCAGCCGTTCGTTAGCTTCGACCTCGTCTTGTACGCTCTTCTTATATTGCACATACTCTGCTTTCACGTAAACAAACCATATTCTGTCATAATGCAGTTCTCCACTCGAGCCCTTTCCCTGGCAGTCGGCCTGTCCCTGTCGTCTGCTAGTCCCGCTCCGTACGCCTCCCCGAGGCAGATCACCCACAAAAACCTGGTGGTCTTGTAAGTCGTCCTGTTTCCCCGCGTCACCATTGTCCGTCTGACTCGCGTCAAACTCGCCGTAGCGGCGACTCGTATTCCACCGTTGGCTTCTGGCCCGGCGGCACTCTCCCGGCCGCCGGCAACCCACTCGGCAACCCTGCCCTGCCGGGCCAAACCACCTCCAGCGGCCTCAACTGGGTCGGCCACCTCACCAGTACCCTCAACACCTCGTTGCTTTTGACCTATGACTTTGCCGTCACCGGCGCCACCACCGACAAGCACATCGTCGACACGTACGCGCAATACTGCGTCGACGACCAGATTGGCCAATACACTCAGTACGTCTCTAGCAAGATCAACAAAGCGGATACCCTTGTAGCTGTCTGGATTGGCATCAACGACGTTGGTGAGCCCTTCTGGGATAGGCAGGCCGCTCCCGTCGCCAAGACCATGAATCGATACTTCCAGCTCTTGCAGACGCTCGTCGACGATGGTCTGGAGAACTTTGTCTTGCTCACCATTCCTCGTGAGTTCTGTTCAGCCATGCTGAGCTATTGGGGTAAACCGCTTACACGGCGCATCCAGCCTTCTCTGACCAGATCCCCGCCATGATCGGCCAGCCCGAGGCCGACCTGGCCCGTCTGCGCTCAGACATCGAGTCCTACAACCAGGCCCTGAAAGAGGGCCTCGCCGCTTTCAAGTCATCCAACAGCAGTGTCAAGGCCCTTGTCTTCGATACCAGGCCCTCTTTTGATCTCGTCGTCAATAAATTTGCCGAGTACGGCGCCAGGGATGCGACCTGCTACGGCTCAAGGGACTGCTTGTGGGCCGACAACTACCACGCTGGCCAGGCCATTCACAGGCTTCTTGCAGAGAACCTAGTCAAGGCCGTTGGGGGAAACTTTGTGTTCTAACTGAGTGGGGGTGAGCAGACCGCCCTAAGACCGCATTTGATTCCTCAACAAAATATGTTATGCCTCGTCTGTTTGCTTTCCAATGCAGACCGAAGTTGATCGTTTTGTACGTTTTCATCTGCGCCTCTACCTGGAAGAACAAACTTGATGACACATCCTTTCTGCAAGTAATCAATCTTCTGAGTAATACCAGAACTCATTTTCGCAAAAGACGACTCTTTGATAACTATGAGCTTCAAAGTCTAGAGAATATACCATTGATTACAGAGCTCTGCTTCTGAGACTAACATGTAACATGCTATACACATACGCCGCCTGCTGCATTTAATTAGTCAAATATTATGCCAAGTAAATACCAGCAACATATCCGTACTGTTCTCTAGATGTGGTCCACATACAAGTAGGCAATAGCGCTAGTGCATTCTGGCTCATCCACCAACCGAGCCCCCCTCTATAAAAGCTGTTTAAGAACAACCACGCAAAAACCAATCCAAAAACTTACACTCCCCTTCAAACCTACACACACGCTCATCAATCACCGCAGATATCATTACCATGTGTCAAGTTTGCCCTATTCCGGCGTGCCCATCTCGCTACAATTCCCGAGGAGAGGTAGTGGAGCCTGAGCCGTACAAGGAAGAGGAGGAGGACGAGGGAGAATACTGCCCACCATCACCACCGCGAGTCATAGATGAAAAAACCATTGTGCAACCTGCGCCCAGCCACGATGGCGCTGCAACTTTCGCTGCGTACCGAGTCCCGACAAGCACCCCCGAAACAGAAGCTGAAATCCGGCCCCTACGTCCCCCATTTACTACTGTTATCTACGATGCAACACATACTGCTTGCCCTACCCGCAGCGCCCGGTTCGTACGCGCTCTATTTGATGGCACACTTGATGATCGCACATCGCGAGATTGGTTACCAGACCGGTTTGAGGTTATCACGCTGCCTCTGCCGCAATCCTTCTCTGATGATGAGCGCGTGGACGCTTGCATCCGCCACCATGAGAAGGAAATCCAGAGCCGCCTGCGGATGGCCGATAAGGCAGAGGCAACCTCTTGGTCTCTACCTGAGCGCATCATGAATCGTCGGTATGCGCGGATGATCCTCGTTATCAACCGCTTTGAGGCCGATGACGACAAAAATAACGATGGCGAGGTGGCCCCTTGGGAGGAGGCGCTTCGTATTGAAGATATATTGAGTGGAGGTAAGATGCACCCCGATGCGAATCGCTTCGGTAGCTATCTCCAAGTCCAATGGCAACGCCGCGAGCAGCTTGAGGATGCCTATCTTGATCCGAAATATATATCTCCTGATCTGTCATTCCGAGATTTTGGGTTTGGAGTGTTTGGCAGGACTCTTTTCGAGATGTTTACGCCAGCTGTGCCTTTTTACAATCATTTCGTGCCTGATGGCGTACTCAATCGACAGTTGGAGGAGGCCAGGGAAAGTCTGGTTGATTTTGATGCTCTTACTATTTGACTACTAGCTTACACTTATGAAAAGGAAAGGAGACTAATACAGTAAATGCACAGTCATATGCGATCCGCCAGAGCCATTGTGAGCCTGTAGGCCATTCGTCTGCAAAGTCCTGGTCTTTTCAAATGTTCTGCAACAGGTGTGACGAAGCCTGGGTCCTAGGAATCCACCTAAAAGCGCCCCAACCAACATTAAGGGTATTCTGGAAACTTTTGGACGTTGAAACACTATCACTCCGAGTAACGACTAGCGGAACCCGGACAAGAGGCTGTTGTTAGCAGTTGAACGGAGTTCTTAATCGCGGAACGCCTAAGGCCCAGGCCCGCTCTTGAAAATCATTCATATCCAAATACGGATAATGAAGAGTCGAACGACCTGGATTCTCCACTTGTCAATTAATCCTTGTTGAATACAGTGGGCATGGCGTCAGGGCTGTTCCGACTAGCTGTTGTTTTCTTTCTCCCTTGCTCGAACTGGGCATCCACCTCTCTTATACCTATCCCATAGTTCCTAAATCCGCAATGGAACACCCTGGTTTGGCTCTACATGGGGCTTTTACATAGTATGTTGGAAAGAACAGGGTCTATTAGCAGGGTAGTGACATTGGTTTTGCCGCTGCTGCCTTCAAAAAACGTGCTTCAGCCTAACTAACCGTGGAATATCTGCTTAGGCAGCCATTGTGGGTAAGACTTTTGAAGAAAACTATGAAAGTCGTCAACGACTCGAAATATCCATTCCATTGATAAGGGGCGGCTACAAGGGAAAAGTAAGAGTAATCCCCCTGAATCTTTCCACACCTACAATTCCCTCCTTCATCACGCCTCTAGAACCAGTCTCACCTCTTCGTGCGGATAGAGAAACGGCAAACATGAAGGTTGTTAACCTGTTCAGGTCCCCGACCGTCTGGGCTATGATTGATATCAGCAAACAAGTTGTGGCTGACGTTCACTTTCTAAACGTGGCCCGAGATACAAAGGTGTTCACCGATACCTGCATTGGAGTTCTAAACCGGGCGCTCAATTGTGATGCCTCTTTGATGTGGGCGACAGATATCGGCCACTTCTACGACGAAACGACCATTAGCCGACTCGGCACGTCGGACTGTAGGGCATCTCTCAACGGTTACCTGAAGCAGGTGAAGGCCGGCTGCGACACCAGTCGTTATGACAGCCCTGATGGTTACAGCTATCACGCCGGCTACAGTGCCGAGCTCGTGTGGGAGCGATTCAACGTACTCTGTACATCTAACGCGTACGTACAACAAAGTGGCCTAAAATGACAAGTGGACATACAAAAGATTAACTGTTGTTTGCGTGGCAGCGCTGGCGAAAACTGCAACTTGCTGTTAGGCAAACTGGCAGGCGTCAACCCAGAGAATCAGCGGAGGACCGCCTCGGGCGACCCAAGATTGATGTACAACGACTGCGCGCTGTCCGTCCTGAAAACACAGATGGAGATGCCGTTGGCATCAAACGCTGACCTGTCCAGCGGCCTCAGCCGGATTGCGTCGTCCTGCAAGACGACCGTGGCTGTCACGCCGGCCCCTGTTCCAAGCCCTGCTTGGATCACCTGGGGGACTGCGCCAGCTCCTACCCCAACATCCGTGAGAGCATGTACCGGCAAAACCCATGTTATCGAGCAAGGCGACACTTGTCAGTCTGTCGCGAAGCAGCAGCGCATTAAAACAGCCCAGCTTATGATGGCGAACAATCTGCTGTCGAGGTGCCACGATTTCCCTACAGCCGCCGGTTCCTCGTTGTGTATCGCGGCCCTCACTTGCGATCCGTACATTGTCAAGACCGGCGACACTTGTACGACTATTGTTAACGTTGCAAAGGCTACATGGGCCCAGATCGTGTCCTGGAACGCAGAGCTGGGGAGCTCGTGCCAGAACATCGGCACCTATGTTAGCAGTGTGGTATGTCTCTCGAACCCGGGAAGCACGTCAGGCACCGACCCAGCTGTTACTGCTTCTGCTGCAAGGCCCATTACGACCACTACCCCAGTCGAGTAAGTTCCCTTTCTTATCTGAAAAACACGTCTCTAGTATACTGGAGGCCGTTGCATCTCCTGACGCCCATGTATTAAGCTAACTATCCGTCTTTTCACTCTTAGTGTGTTTACATTGCCCATGAAACCGATCCCGATGGATATCAGCCACACAACCATGATCATTATCGACAGATGGCCTAAAAATAACGAGGAAGACTTGTAAAACATCGATGGCTGTTATCAAAGACGCAGTGATACTTTTCAAGGAAACTTGGCAGGGCCCACTAGGATCTGAGAGAAGAACACATCCGGCCAGCTTATTTCCCAAAGATAGAAGTATCCTCCCGGAAGCTCTTAGTTTGCCATGTTGGATATAAGACTGTTTCTGTGCGATAACATGGAAGGTGGGCTTACTGGGGGTCTTAGGGTCAGCGAGACACTGCATAAGCTCTCTTGTTTGACAATTACGCTTCCCGTTCCTTCGCCAGCACTTCAAATAGCTTCTTTTCTTTTTCAACTACTATTCAATAAAGATAATGACTATTCGTCAACCATCTGATCGGATAACCCGTTCATACCAACAGCAGCTTCATCAAAGGCGTGTAGTCAGGGCATCATCTTGCCGGTGACCCGAACTCTTGCTATTAGCGGTGCGACAATCGGGTTCATTGATGGTATGGATAGAATTGTCTCCATCGCGCAAAAGTGAAACACCCTGGGACATATGACATTTAACATAGTTGTCCCCTTCGGCTATGTGTGATGACGTGACTGCACGGCCATGGTATAAGAAAGAGCATGACAGAGATTCCGCTTTCTACCAAGCTAACTAATCATAGTATAGAGAAGTCCTTGATAAAATAGAGGTTTCGAAGTAGAGAACGCTCTTTCTATATGTTGCATCCTAATAACCTAGATACTTAAATGAATAATAGAAATAAGTTAACTGATTAACAATCTAGGACGCGGCTCCTATCAAAACACTTCATGCTCCAAGCCATCATATGAAAGCTTTATCCCCACAAGAGATGGCTCAATATTAGATGTTATTCATCAATTCAATCGAGTAACACTGAGACATGAATGTAATAGGAAAGGTCGATGCTAGCAACGAGGGATGAGCTTAGTATCAGGGCCACTTATCCATCTCATCAAGAACAAAAGATATATGTGAATCATCACATATAGTCAGGTTGCGCCTTGTAAACCACAATAAAAAACCCGACTTTAGCACACCTGGTCTAATCTTGGCATATGATTGAACGTCCAATTGACCAATGGGGAATCACCCACTATCGTATTAACTTCCATGCCCACGATAAACAAGGCCCACTCACAAAGTGAACATGCGGGCCCCGGAATCGGCGACGAGGGCTCTGGATCACAGTAAAAGTTCTGGCTACCCGCCACTCCAAAGTTCTGACGGAGCTCTCGGCTTCAGGTAGATCGAGTTATCGGGCTAAATATGGTGAATATGCGGATATCTGCGTTTGTCAGCGCTGTTCTGAGAGCTTGGGTTTGTGCTCAACAACTCGGCGTGGTTCAAGACACCACGCCGTCGTTGTCATACGCCAATACAACTTCGCTTCTCGACACGATCGTGGCCCGCGGATACATCAATGTCGGCACAACGGGTGACTATAAGCCGTTCACATATTTCGTTACCAACCAGACAACTCTACCAAACACCACCGCGATCAACACGACTTACATCGGTGCGGATATCGACGCGGCTCAGTCCCTCTCCAACGCTCTCGGACTCCCGAGTCCCCCACGTCTGGTAGCAACGAAATGGGCGAACATTACTAGCGATCTCACGGCGGGGAGATTCGACATTGCCATGGGCGGCGTCAGTATGACCCTCGCGCGCGCTAGGACGGCGTTCTTCTCGACCGCTATCCAGAAGGTGGGCAAGACCGCATGCATTCGCTGCGCCGACTCGTCAAAGTACACCGACCTCGCGTCCCTGGATCAGCCGGGCGTCAAAGTGGCCGTCAACCCCGGAGGTACCAACGAAGCCTTCGACCGCGCCAACCTTAAATCTGCGACTATCGTTCTGGTGGAGGACAACAACGCCGTTTACCAGGCAGTCTTGGATGGCACGGCCGATGCCATGATCTCTGATCTCATTGAGGTGGAGCTGCAAGTTAAGCTGCATAAGGGAGAACTCTGCATCGTCAACCCGGGTGCGCCGTTCAACTTTGAGGAGTTGGGATACGCCGTTCCCAGAGATATCGTCTGGAAGCAGTTCGTTGACGCCTGGGTGCATGTACAGCTTGGCAGCGGAGCCTGGAACCAAACGCTGGAAAAGTGGTTGGATTACAAATGGCCGAGTGTGTAACTCTAAAGGCCTCGATTCTGAGCTTGCATCGGTTGATAATCATGATGTACGAATCCGATACTAGGATTTTAACGTGATATCGCATTTGGTCTACCAGGCAAGAGAACATAGACACGGTATAGATGTGTAATAGTCATTTGCATAGACTTACTAAGCTCATTGACCCATCAATGATCCGCACCAGCTCAAAGCTTTGCTGGTAGCTTTCCATGTTCAATCTCCTTTTTAACAAGTCTTACAGCATGTGCCGCCATTCCCCTGGAGACTCGTCAGCACAATCGTCGCACTCTCGAAGTATGGTTGCAGCTCACCAAGATGCCTGGTAGCCTGCTCCAGATGCTCCATAGTTGTGGATTACCAAACCATTATCATTCTTCTCAGCTTCAAGTCTCGGGCCGCCCTTGCGGTTAGGCCGCAGCCCCACGCCATGTTTGATGATCCTCAGGTCCTCAGGTCGACCCAGCTCGGGAGCCAGAGCACAGCACCTCTCGAGGATGGTATTTGCCAACTCTGGGTCAACTTCTCTATCCCAACTTCCGTCCTGGCGACACCCGCCGAGCACGATGCCTCCGGCAAGCGGTCTTTGGAAGATGTAGGTAGTGTTGTTGTCTACTCGGTGGGGCGAGCGGAAGTACATCCTCTTGAGAGGCTGAATGGGTTGTTCAACGAGGACCGTCTGACCTCGAGTAGGATACATTGCCTTGTCTTTGACGCCACCAAGGAAGTATGATCCCAATCCGGTACAATTGAAAACAGCCGTCACGTCTGGTGAAATGCGTGCATCTTTGATGTGCCCAATCCGACGTCGCAGCAATTCTATGTTGCTTTGTCTGCATTTCTCCAGAAGCCTATGGCTGTGAGTTCGGGTACATAAGATTTGGAAAGTGAATAGGTCCTCACCACTGTAAGTAGATCTGAGTGTTGATCACAAACGTAGAGGGCATCTCAAGCCCAAAGATGGCCCCTTCCGGTAGCTCGTCCTTGCTCAATGGAACAACACCGCCAACTAAATCATTATACCAGAGCTTTCCGGTCCCCTCGCTAAGGATTCCGGCGTCCTCAATTTTCGAATCAAAGATCATCCTGAGTGGTGAGGTCTTAATCCCCGCTTCGGGACTGGCGTGTGCAATCTCCTTGAACCGGTCGAAGGTCACGCGGTCAAACGACTCGAGGAGTCCATTGTCGTTCGCAGAAGAACACCAATTAGCTCCCGCCCATGGTGAACAGTAGTCGATGTGGTAGTCACCGGGGAAATGCTCTGCCAAGATGGTAATTAGACTTCCCGGGTACTCGGCCCTTAGTGTCAGCGCGGTGCTTAGGCCAATGACACCGGCGCCAAGGACGACGAAGTGGTACGACGAATCCTTCGAGAAAGGCATGACAAACATTTCTGGTCGTTACTTGAGATAGGAGACCAAAAAAAGTAAAGAAAAAAGAAAGAAAGACAGTGATCAGCCCACTGTGATAAGGCGGTGTTTTGGCCGGGTGCTACCGGCTCCAATTGGGCTGGTGGTTAGTAATGGTCCGAACTCGGCGCTCTGGGGGGGAAACAACGGCGGGTCATCGGTCCAAATCTGACCTGTGTACTCTGTATGATTGTTCAGACAAGACTTAGGGACCAATAATTACATTGCTGATGTTATCAAATAACCGTCGTCACCAGTGATCACCCCGATGAGAATTAGTTGGATTCATCAAAACAAAATTTGTTCAATTTGTTCATCCAATATTACCATGCTATCAAGATTTACTAATCCTACACTTGATCGCTTTCGAAGTTTCCCCAATAATCGACATCGGCTCGCACCAGCTACGGTAAATCACACAAAGGTTTTCAACATCAATCTGACGATTGAAGCAGATCATCTTTTACAACGCTGCGGATCTTGTAGACCGCAGATGAGTTATACAAGGCGGCCAACGGCTAGGTTTTCTTGCCTGCCTTCTCTTGACCTGTTGATTTGCTGGACTGCATCCCTTCGAGGTTTACACTTTTCTTCTGCTGAGATTCCATCGATGGCATCGAGCTGGCATCTCCGCTGCGTCTCTGTGAAACAGACAGATAAGTAATCAGCCTCGTATTGGCGACGATAACATGGTGTACATACTCGCTCTTCCTCGACTTCAGCATCGTGGATAAAGTCATGTCCCGCCTCGACGGCATCATCTGACAGACCATGCTGCTTCAAGCCGTGGTCTTTTCTGCTAGACATGTTGACGGTTTGTCTCTAAGCGCTTTCCTAAGATTCTTCCAGGAACTTCGAGGCAATCGATGGGATTCGCAGCTCATGAGGACAGTGTGGTACTGGGGCAATGTCTGATTCATACATATACTGCCCAAGCAACCAAATGAGGGGCCTAGAGTTACGCAAGAAAAGTATCACCAACACCATCCGCGAGAGCCCAGTACCTAGACAACCCCGCAATAACGATGATCTTGCAACCAGTCAGGGCTTTCTGGCAAGCATGAGTGAGCATTTTTGATTGCTGTTCACCACATCAAGGAGCGGGGTTGGAAGTATCGAGAAGGGATCCAGACTGGGCTAGAATTTCAGGATTACCGATCGATTAATCCTCGTCCGGGAGCTTCAGCGAGTGAGGGCACGATAAAGGAGGGGGAAATATCGGCCTATGACACGTCTTTCAAAGACGGAATGAGATGGAATTCCCAGTTGGAGTGTATTAACCCATAAGATACGTGTTTATGCAAACATTGCAAATATTATTACAGGCTCATTGATTGGAACTTGGTCATTGCTTGTATCACTGTATATTCTTCCGTAGACACTACAGTGTTACGGTGATCACCTAATTGACAACGTTGCAATGTCAAATCAGCCTTTTTCATTTCTGTATCATTGCATTTATAATGGTCTAGAGCCATATCATTCGTAACCTCATGAAAGACATGACTCAATTATTCATTATCATTAGCGTAACCACTACTTGAAATGCCAAAGACATGAGCCATTTCTCTTTGAACTGAGACGTAGCGACACTGGCGCCACTCGATACAATCTTATCAGCACTCGCAACCTGAAACTTGGTTCTGTTCGGGTCATTGCCGAAAGGGTTGTTGATCCAATCATTCGGAATCTGCGCAATGAAGTCGTACCAGTAATCCCCCATGATGCGGTAGCCTCCGTCTGTCGGATGGACGCAGTCGGCCCGGAGGATGGCGTCGCCCAGAGAGGCAAAATCCACAGCCAGAACGTGGTAGCCGGCGTTCTTTCGCTCATCGACCACGCTCGGAATGAGCTTCTGGAACTCGGTCGTTGCCGGCCTCTGGTCCTCAAGGCAGGTGTTGATAATTTGGGCCACGAGGACGGTGGCGTCAGGGCAGGCGGCGATCATTTGGTCCACGAGGCTGCCCAGTCGGTCGGCGGCGCCCACCGGATCGTTACCTTCTACAGAGATGTCACGATTCCGGTTCATGTCATTTGTGCCGGCATGGAGGAGAATAATGTTTGGCCGCTGTGCCAGTGAAGGCCCGACATTGTCTGCGATATACTGGATCGTTTTGCCAGACCAACCCGCCTTTTTGAGTGTCAGAAAAAATGCACACCACAAGGCTGGTATTCGTCGTACGACTTACAGAGTAACCGTCGGTCATGTTGCCAGAGTGGATTGTTCCGGCAAAAACGACATCGTTGGCTACTGAATTGTCAGGTCTGGTTGCGAATGGCTGAGTTGCACATCCAAAATGTCGTGTCAACCATCGTGCATGCGTGCTTGACTTACCGAGGAGATCCTGGGCGAGCTCTAGTCTGTAACCGTTCCCATCACTGCTTGCAAAACCGTAGGTGATGGAATCACCGACGGGGAGAATCCGCAACTTAACCCCGTCTTTGATGACTTGCCCAGGGGGCGTCGACTTGTACTCAAGAACATCGCCCGCAGCGACTGTGAGCGGGGCGAAGAGAGCGGCACAGGCCACGGAGAATCGCATACTAAAGGCAAGCGGATGGCATACACAGGCGAACAATCATCACGGGAAACCCGAGCGAGAATCGGGAGTCAATAAAGTGTGGGAACTAACCGCTTCATATAGTGCAGCTTGGTGTGGTCACATCATGGACACTGAGTGACAAACAAGGCCCATGAACGCATGCCGCCGCGGGCACGACTTAATTACCATCCATCCAAACCAACAGATTATTTTCCATCTTTAATGCCCGGCAAACCGAAACCCTCTTTGCCAACGCACGAGTTGGTACGCTAGTTTAGCCCCCAGTCGCATTGAACACTGAGTGACCTAAGGCCCCGTTCATGACTCCACTGGTCAGCGAGACCATGCCCGTCTCAGTCGCTTCCCTTATCTTCTCAGCAAACCGCGCAGGTCCGGTGCATGGCCAGGGGTTTTCTCCCCTCAAGAGTCATTAACGTCGGTAGAAAACTTTAAGAGAGCTATTAGATGCACTCACTGGTTTTCACCTTTTTTCCCCATGACTTTTTTTTCCTTTTTTCGTGACGGCTTGGCTCCGTCCTTGAATCGTTTCACCTGCACGTTGCAGGTTTCTTTGCCAGGCACGTGGCTGTCGGCAGTTTGCCAAGGTGTGTAGCTAAGGTGCCGATGCGGCACGGAATGCCCAGGAGGCCAGGCTAGAATCTGACTCCTATCGCCTATCCATCTTTTGGGGTTAAAACGGCGGCGTGGCCAGGTTAGCCGGCCATGGAGGAGAAAACGGCGGTTAATACGGATGAGAGTCGGCAGCTAGCACCCCCTGTCGCAAGATTGTCTGCCCTGACTCTTTGTCCTCAGCATGAATGATCTCTCTTCCGGGCCGCTCCATTGTGCTAAACGCAAACGCCATCGTCCTATTGGCTCAAAACAGCTGAGGCGGCGTATGTACGGATATGGCAATCAAGAATCGCCCATGCTGAAGGATGGTCCTAGTTAATAACGCCCATCCCATCCCCCTATTTCGTCCAAAGCTTTTCTGTTCTCTCTCTCCTTCTGATAAGACTTTTACTGTGCAATTGTTAAAACCAAGGGAGCATTAATTCCGATAGGCAGCACCATGGGCGCCAATACTATACTGGGAGAAAGGGGCATCAGACGCATACTGGCACATCGAGACTCGTGTAAGATCCGCACGAGAAGCTCATAGATGACGTGCAACACCATTGACAATGACTTCATCATCTGACGCCATTCTGGGTCCTCATGCTTTAGCTCATCCCACAGCCGCCACAAATCCGATCTACTGTAATTAGTACAGTAAATCTGACGCCCGAGGTGCCTGGAGATTATCACACCGGCAGTGTTGGGTTGCCCATAGATGCCGATGTCAGTTCCTTGCTCTCGATGCAACCAATTGAATCGACTTCGTTCGCATGGGCGCTATGCATGCCCAACTGATCGTATATCTTCGGCTGAAAACCATCCGCAGTACGGATACAAACATAACCTTACTTGATATTGATTTGCCTCCCTTTTACCTCATTGTTGACTAGAAGCCGCATCCTGCCCCGTGCGCGTCCATGGCGGCGATTCATTCAGGGCATCAAGGTCTTCCCTGACAATGCACTTGATGAGATATCCAAGCTCACTAGCAAAGTTAAAGAGGACTCGGGTTTCATTTCCATGCAGCACAACGATATCTCTTAAGTGGCAGCTGATTTTTCGGTGCACGAATGTGAGGAGGTAGGTCATAAAATGTTGGCTGTATCATGGTCCGCTAGCTTATTGGCAAGAAGAAGGGAGGAATATTGCCTTGACATCTTCAAAGCTTGTCAGGCAGTTCTTTCTTCGGGATCCAACCGACGGGTAGTTGTCTCACAGGTGCCTGGTCCCCAGGGGATACAAGTCTGCATGGGAAGAAAACACTGACGAGCAACACTCATCATTCTGTGCAAGCAGTGAAAGCTAGGTAGAGATGGAAAGAGACGGATGACCATAGACGCCTCTGTATCCACTGTAAAACATAAAAAATCAGGTTTCCTTGAAGGCTGACGGAACCAAAAACTTTGCGCCTCATGAAGCTATCAAACAACCGCGGTTAACGCTCGCAGCAGCTCAGAAACTCGCTGGTGTATGGCAATGTCGGACTACTTGTTCTCGAACATAATTACTTCTCAACAGGTACTTAAAACTGTTAGTCGCCTCTACTTAACGTCTCAAGATTCTTGAGGAGGCTATTCTCTTGCTTCATAAACTCCGCTGGGGCACCGTGCTGAACCCGTACCGATTCCATATAAGTAGCGCTTTGCAGAACCCCATAATAACCATAATGTCTGTATCCACCCCGCCCTCGAGACCCCGCTATACGACACCAATGCCCATGGCCGCATGCTTTCAAGAATGGACTGGCACTCTTCGTTGGTGGCAAAGGAAAAGGGTTCAGCTTTTCATGAAAGACGTCTCATACAGAAAGAAAGCCTCGTCTTGGGGCACGGCGATAAGTCAGTGTCGGATGGCAGCACGGCCGACTTTATGGAGCGGTTGGTATTCGATGGGCATGTTGGTCGCGCAGTCGGGCAAATAGTCAGAGTCTAATATACGTAGAAAGAGAAGGACGCGACGGGTGGTTTGCTGCTAGATATCGGATGAGCCAAGCGTGATCCAAGTAAGTCATTAAAGACTGGCCCATCCACGAACTGCAACCTTTTCTAGCCCAGCTCAATCGTGAAAGTTGGATCCCCTAGCGCAAGGTCTTTCGTTCGTTGGCTGATACGATCGCCACTCCCATTCCTCGACTGAGATCAGGAAGTACTTCAATTCGATTAGTCAAGCCTTAAGTACAAGCGAAAAAGTGCCGGGACTCAGGAGTCTAGTGCTAACTTACCTGTTAGATGTAAAACCCCCCCTTCATCTCCACCCTTCGCCGGCCATGAAGTAGCAATACTTTCGCTATCACCCTGTAGATCCTCACGAGAAGTGTTGTCACAGAGCCACAAGAGCCTGCCAAAGACATTAATAATCAATCCTTTTCAGAATGGTGTTTAGTTGAACGAGGTACGCAAGCGTCTTTCGAAATTTCATCAGCGAGACCATGTTGGCGCTAAGAAGGCCAGTGTTAGAGTGTAACTGCATGGATAAGCAACCCTAGTAGAATTCACTAAGAGAATATACAGAAGGTCGCAGTGAGCAATAATGACCACAAAATTTCTGCGCGGACATGATATCGTTGCCGTGAAGTGGAGGATTTATGATCTGACGAACGATATAGTGACTTTGGTCGGTTCAACAAAAGACTATATGAACTCGCTAGAGAACACCCTCCACGAGAGGGGACTTGCAAAACAACAAGACGGTACCTGATGGCGAAAGAGCTATAAAGATTGAATATGGCATGATCGGCAAGAACATTTGCCCAAACTTGAGAGTGAAGTCTAAGCCGTGCTGACCGTTTGCGATGGTTGGTCTAATGGATTCATCGTTGACGACCTTAGGTTTACGGTGAACGGCGTCGCTTGGTCAGCTCGTATGCCAGCGGCGACAACAAGATAGAGCTAGAGAAAAGGAGAATAACGAAAAGGCTCCGGCCTCAGCCATAAACACTCACTGATTAAAACTCAACTTGGAGGCATTATGAATTGACAAAAGAAGAATACAAGAGGAATATGACACCAAAACGTCTTCCGAGATCAAAATACCTCTAGCAGCATTGTGGAATCGTTCAAAATTCTTGGTCATCAGCAAGTCTGAGAAACGTTCCCAAGCTTCCGGCCTGTGGTGGAAGGCGTTGCAGGGTCTTAACCCATATATGACATGAAGTGAGTCATTGAAGTCCTGCCAACAGCACAAAGAAATCGATCGCTGGGAAGTGTGACAGCGACTGTGATAGTCTTCCTATGGCTGTGAGTTTTGTGTGAAAGCTATTGGTAGCAGTTACTCCCCGGCTCGAATACTATGCTGGTGACGTGGCACATCGCTCGATTGGAGGCTCAGATTGCTACCGGAAGAGCCAGCGAATCGATCTTAGGATTGATAGCTGTCGGTGTCTGAAAAGCTGCGAAACTGAGGGATATTGATCTATTGAAGGCCTTTTCCATGGAGGCAGCAAACGTCTTGGGCGTCCGACAGCATCCACAATTATTCACACTAGGATGTCGAGGACCACTTCGTGTCACAAGCCTGTCGTTTTTTTTTTTGAGAAGAATCTTGTAGCCGTAGCCACCAAAGTCTTCATTCACCGATCTCAGTGTGCTTGCGATCGGTGGCCCGGGGCTGCCAGGGGCGGTTTACCGGGGATAGATACTCGCAGACCTATGGCATCGCAACGCCATCCTCAGCATTCAGACAAAGGAGGTTCAGACAGAGAGTTTGTGCTAGGGTGCCTTGCTATAGCCAGTGTAACCTGAGCGGAGATGTTTTCAATTAGTAACGTCACTGTTGCGATGTTGCATTGATGCTGCAGGCAGTATCAGAGGCCGGCAGTTGCCAAGCCATAGTAGCAATGATATCAGGGGCGAAAATGGCAAAAGGCATGTCTTGGATATAGGACGGGGGCGTCTGATAGCTCGTATCCACCGAAAGAATCTTGGCATCTGGGATTTGTACTCGGTGGTTAGGGTGACTGGGTGATTGATAACGATTTGACTTTGTCCTCCTTCCAGTGAAGTTGGACATTTGTCTCAACTGACCAGAGTGTCCTGGCTAGACTGCCTCTTTGTCTCATGTCTGATAGTGGACTGTGATACCGGCATTTTCTTTCTCTTCATTTCGCTCAAGCTGAATTATAGATTGGAGCATTTCCTCTCGGTGTGCAATGTGACTTTTGTTCCGCCCGGTTGATGAGCTCGCTATCTGCATTCATCAAAATCTCTGTTCGCACGATGGCTCTGGGAATTATCAGAACTGCTGCAGTCACTACTGAGGCTGAACGGTTTATGATTGTAGTGTTCACGCCGCCTATACTCGTTCTGGTGGTTATTTGTCTCGAGCATGATGCTGCGAGGGCAAGAATAATGGGACAAATATGGTAGGACAAAGCAGCCTTGGAGCTAAATGGGGTTGGGTTCATCTGGCGGATTGCGGGGAGCTACGACTAACAGGGCCATGCCGAGCCAGGTTTAAGATGCAGAATGATCTCCTAATGCCGCAGGTTAGTCTTTGCAGGACAGGCAAAACTCGCATTAGACATGAAAAGGCCAAGTCAAAAGCAGGTAATCAACACGGCAAGTACACAAGACCTTTCCTCTGTAGCATACTGTATTCCTGACGGACGTACTTCTTACATTTATGCCAACGATACGTGGCCAGTGATTGAAGAATCATACCGAGGGAATCCCCCGTTTACAGCGGTCCTCAGTCTACGAAGCCAGCGGTCTCGGCAAGTCCGAGCTAACCGTGGTTCAATGACTAGGATTAGCCGCCTTGAAGTATTTGGAAATCTGCCTGATTCAGACCATCTGGACTTGCGTGTCGGATCATACTGCATACATGCCTCAACCCGGGTGTCATCTCGTGCGCGACTGCAAAGGTTTGGCCTTTTCCCGCCGACCGGCTCTCCACCGGGACCACGTCGAACCCTCCAGAAGAGCAGCCTATAATCACCTTCGGATAGCCGGACAGCTGGAAGCCCGGAACTGTGGCTTCAAAGTGGAAAATTTCGGGTGAATGTTGCGAGTCAAGTCCGGAGCCGAAAGTTCGAACGACCTCGGAGTTTGCCTTCATGTTTAGATCCGAGAAAGCACGGATTCATGCCTCACAATGTGATAGACGACACATGTGTAAGATGACCAGGTTACCACACGTTTCCAATATTCAGTCGATTGTCTCTTCCTTCGGTCGACTTTTTCTCCTTCACAAAGACCCCGACATGCGGCATAATGCATTGTAGGTTCCCCGATAAAGACCCAAGTGCGATCACTTCAAAGTGATCTGTCGACTTAAGAAACGCGGACGAGCTAGCGGGACCAAAGCGGGTCCTCACGGGAGGGACAAATGGAGAACAGAGGTTTCGCCCCAAGTTTCACCAATATCGGTATAATAACTCCGTTATAGTGTCCAGAAGGCTAGAGTTGCGATGTTGCAAATGCCGACCCCACCCTTTCAAACATGATCATGTACTACCTTACGGAGCCTAACCTGAGGCCGAATGGATATTTGAGCACATGACATTTGGGATGCGCTGTCGGTGAGGCAACATCTCATATGTTGAGAGCCTGCAAAACTAGCTATTATGGATGGTCGATTCCTTTCCAATACGGCCATGCATAACCTTATGTTGTATGCTTTTACGAGCCAAACATGAGTCTGGTTTACCGCACTCACATTCGTAGAGTTTAAACAAGAAACATTGCCAAGGTTAATTTAGTCACGTGGATTGCAAAAAACAAGGTCAAGGGCATCGAGTCTCGATGTGAAGGTGTAGACAGTACAAACTAGCCATTCGAAACATCATGGAACTTGCTTCACATGTTGGCTTTTACTGTTAGACTGGACGGTTCCGGCATAAATAAGGAGAAAAGGATGCCAAGATAAGCCGAACTAAGGTATCCGTATTCGAGGGAAATAGTTCGGTTGACGGTGAGACATTCTTATCGAGATGGAGGAGAGGAATGGGGTTGCGGAGCGGCCTGACAAATCCCAAAATAATCTCCCAAGGGTCGTACTGGTCTGTGTTCCACAATAACTCCACGCTACCTTGGAGCTTATGTTAATCACATATTAAACCAGATTTCCATATCTTGGTTTACGATCTCTCCTTGGCAGGTGCCATGGGGCCATCAGATAATCGGTTTTCCCGGGTTCGTGTTCAGTGTCTTAGGTCGGACGATAATGGGTTGCAATCGTTCACTGCCGTCTTATAATCGAGTTTATAGCTGGGGCGGCTTTGTGGATGCAGCTTGAAGATAATTATCTGCTCATGCGATATATGTCCTCCTACAACTAGAAGGTGGCTGTGGCGATCTTCGACAATGTACGTCAGAGAAAGATCCTGACTGATAAGTAAGTGGACCTTGCTGGTAGACATGGATAAGTGAATCTCCCTGCTAATCAAAAAACAAAGTACGCAGATCGATCGCTCGGCCTGAGAGTCAATCTTGCTGCGAAAGCTTACTTGCATTGATACTACTGAATGCGGAAGCAACCTGGTCTCGAATGTCTAATGCTCTTCTTGGCCCCGTTATGGATTTATTCAGAGACACACGCGCTGTTTCGCGGGTGTCTGACCGCTACGGTTAGTTGGTGGCTTGCCAGAGAAGAGCGCGAAAATGGGTTTTGAAACCCTGTTGAGCCGTTTGCTAAGAAGCTTTTGAAGTAAAATAAAATAAGAACTCTGCATGCTTTGTCATGTATTGCGCGTTTGCCACTCTTCGGGATTTCGGAGGAACGAGACTTGTTCGCTTGTCATCGGAATGTTAATTAATCTTCGTCTATAAATGTTGCGATGGAATAGGTGGCTGACGACAAGAATGCGTATGCAGCTTGTGTAAACAGACGAGCGAATTCAGATGACCGGTGCTGCCGAATCAGATTCGATTCGTCCGCGACCCTGACTCCCAAACCAGAGTAGTCGGCTGGTGAGAGTTCCTGTTCCAGGCGTGCGGTGCGGCCCCCATTCGAGACGATGCACGGGCTGCTGATTTATATCTGATAAAGATTTAACACGGTGCCACTCTGTCGCTGTGGAGGTTCTGCTAGTGAGCTATGTGGCCTCGAAACAGACAATGTGAAACGAGCTTGTCGACTCTTAAAATAGTCGTCCGATAAGACCTGAGCCTTTCACTTAGTGAGGTTCACTGTTATCCGATGTCTCTTACCCTTCTTTGGCACACATCTGCGACTTGGTGCGACAACACGCACACCACTCGCGAGCGCCATAAGATGTGATGGTGTTGTAAAGGCACTCCGGGTATGATTAGTTCCGTAGCGGAAACGGCTGCTTCCTGAACGGCTTTCTGTGGCCAGTTCTCGTTGATTTCGCAATTGACATGATTGTACACGATGCTTTTAGATCCCTCAAAACCCTTGTTTCAAAGGGGGGTCGCCTTTTTGAGGCAACTTCACACAGGGAAGCCCTAGCTGTCAGACTGACCTCACCACATATCCCATCCTCTGAAAGGGGCCACAGACAAAACATACCCCCCACATGCCTTGCTTGACAAAACCAATAGCAATCCCGGTAAGAATCCCGTTCCCCAAGGACAGGATCTGAGCGCACATCACAGCGGGCCGCTGCAGATTTGGCATCGTTAAGCTTGCTTGTCTTCCAGGCTTGGTCATCAGAACCGACAGTGCCCTTTCAGAATGAGACTGGCATGTCGATCAATCCTGAGCACCATACTCTCCAGATTCTACACACCCTTTAACCTGAATCATCTCAACATATGTATCTAATTTAGAATCCAAGACTTGTCCAAGCTCGTCTCAGCGCCGTCTCTATCGTCCAGTCTGAAGCCCGGAAGCTCCTGAAGGTGAAATTCCGTCGTTGCGTAGCTGAGCTTCTCAACGGCCACCCCTTGCTTTGCTGGCCTAGCTTGACTCCATGTCCAGTCCAACTACATTAGGTATTTGCTTTGTCTGGTGTCATATCGCCCCCACCACTACGGCCCCTCTCATGATGCCCGTGTCAAACTGGCCCCTGTCCCAGTTCACATAATGTCTGGGTTGGTTGATGATCGCTGTGACGCGTTTTCAAAAAAAGCAAGTTCAGCCGGTTGCCCTCGGTGGAGCATCCTAGGCCCACGCTCCTCGGGTTGGAATGTTATATCTAGACAGAGTCCATCGTCTTTGTTATCGTGAACCATTGTTTTGGTCTCATATTGTAGACTCATCATATCCCTTTTATTCTCACCACTTGCTTCTTACAATTGTCGCAATCTACAGTGTAGATTCCGCCATTTTCATTTCTTCTTCTGTTAGGCTTGACGTCTCAGAATTCTTTTTCTTGTATTTACTGTATATCTGACCGGAGCATTGGTTAAAGATGGCTCCGATTCTTTCCTGGCGCCAAGCCGCTGTGGCAGCGCTGCTTTTCAATGCAGCGGTGACGGCCAACTACGACGCTCGCCGAGATATCGAGTCCTCTGCTGACAATAAGCGAGCTGTGGATATTGATTCCATCCGATCGCGAAACGTCGACATAAGGGACTTCGTGGAGAGACTAGGTGGTAGTGGCAGTGTCTTAGCCGCCCGAAGTGATGCTGCTGCAAAATCTCAAAGTTTGTCCCACTACATAAGATTATCGAACACCCAACTTACTTTACATAGACGCTGGATCTTCAGCCGCCGATGCCCCGGCACCCCCGGCTGGTGGTGCAGCTCCCCCGGCACCTCCGGCCGATGGTGCAGCTCCCCCGGCACCTCCAGCTGCTGGTGCAGCTCCTCCAGCACCCCCGGCCGATGGTGCAGCTCCTCCAGCACCCCCAGCTGCTGGTGCGGCCCCCCCGGCTCCGCCGGCTAATGGTGCGGCCCCCCCGGCACCCCCAGCTGCTGGTGCGGCTCCCCCGGCCCCGCCGGCTGATGGTGCGGCTCCCCCAGCACCCCCGGCGGCTGGTGCCGCACCTCCAGCACCCCCAGCCGATGGTGCAGCTCCCCCGCCACCCCCTGCTGGTGGCGCCGCTTCTGGGAGCGCGGGTGATGGCTCTGGTTCCAGTGGAAACGCGGGTGATGGCTCTGGTTCTAGTGGAAACACGGGTGATGCGTCTGCCCAAAGTGGCTCCAGCAGTTCAGCTCAAAGTCCGTTCACTATGCCCCTCTTGATACGCAAATAACTAATTTTATCCAGATGATGGATCTTCTGCTAACTCAGCTCCCTTGGCTGCTGATGGTGCCTCATCCAGCTCTCAGAGCTCTTCATCGGACGCCCAAGCTTCGGGCTCAGGCTCTGGAAGTGCGGCTTCAGAAGTCAATGCCGCCGCTCCGCCCCCGCCACCCGCCGATGCTGCCGCCCCTCCGCCACCGCCTGCTGACGGAGCTGCACCTCCCGCTCCCCCGCCACCTGCTAATGGCGCCGCCCCTCCTCCTCCACCGGATGTCGCAGCCGGTAATGGCACGGCACCACCCGTGGCAAAGGCTAAAGCAGATGCCAAGGGCAAGGGAGCGGCTGCTCCCCTTGCAGCAGCCGCGAATGGCACCGCCGCGGCGGCACCACCACCACCTCCCCCGGATGCAAAGGACGCAAAGGCTAAGCTCAAGGCCAAGGACACCGCTTCTGCTGACCCCAAGAAAGCCAAGGACGCTACCGGCGGAGCCGCGGCGGCAGGAAAAGCGGCTGGCGGCATCGGTAGTGACGCCAGCAGTATGGCACGAAGGGGCTCTCGCTCAACCCGGCACGTCCGCAACATCAAGCGTCGGAACCTCATGGATAACTGGGCCTGGTGATCTAAGATTGTCCTTTTCTATTTCTCTATGCTTTCGAAGTTTCATGAGGCGTCATTTGGGATTTTCGCATTTACAGCGACACTACACTTCGCTCATTAACACACTTTCTTTCATCAGTCCTTCGCTCTCGAAGGCATCACTCTTTTTAACTGATACAACTGAATAGCCTATTCATGGTTCGGCGGATGAAGTGCAACGTCGATAAAGGACATAGGCAAATATACATTTCAAAAACAAAAACGTGATAAAGAAGCCCGTGCCATCGAAACTCAGGTGAATGTCCAATGCTGTAGCCCACAAGTGGATGCAGTGAACACAGAGCAATCCTGACCATACTTTGCTCACCCATCTGATTCAATTAGCCTCATGAGTTGATGATTGCGCTACACTCTTCTTCTTTGGCAGATGGACAAGCTTTCATTGGATTGAGTGCATATTACAACGTGGCGTTTTCCAGTTCACCCACAAACATCTTCAAGAGCAATCTCTTTTTGGGCTGACCCTAAACATACCCAATGGTTCTTTCCATTAGGCCGATATTACACCGGCATCCTTTCTAAGAAAGCTATGTTTAGCAAGCCAGGCTTTAGCTTTTCAGCTGCTTGTACGAGAGTGGTGTAGATCTTACCAAGTACGAAGTAAAATTCATGTTTTTCGTCGAAATTGTCGGACATCATGACTCGTATTTACAAGATAACACAAGATGCCCAGGTCTGTCCACTTGGAGCTGTGTACGATCCAACGTGTGTAGTTATGTCGCAGTTGGTCGAAGACTTGATGTTGATCTTGGAAGTTGGCTCCATGGTGAAATTGTGTATGGATTGATTTTCCCTTAAGCTTGTATGCGCTTCAGTGCCGGAGTAGAGGCAAAGAATGAAAGCACTAGACTGAAGAGGGGTATGGACGGGTTTATATAAGTAGAGACTTTCAAGGTATAAATTTGCCCAAGAGACTCATAAAAATAGCTCAGGCTATAACAAAAGATCGATGCATTAGTCTCAATTGTCCATGCAACTTCCGGGTCTTGTTTGTGATGCAGGTGTAACATATTTGCGAGTACAGGCAAAGAATCAGAAGATCAGATGAGGGCCTAAGTGACTCCCCTGTAAATTAAAATTACAGTAAATTGCTTTGTCGTTTGTTTCGCACATATGAAACCGTTTCCAAGCCGTATTCCACAAAGCACAATAGCCATGACTTGGCTTCTGACCTTGAATAGTCACACCCTCCTTACTCCCAGTTAGTAGATTGTGGTAATTCTGTGTTTGTATGATTTACACCTTTGTCAAAACTGACTCGATCAATATGCTTTTGCAACTGTCCAGTCAAAGGAAGGCAAGGGAAGGTTACATTTGTGCTACGTCTCTGTCATGTGTGTACACTTTCAAAGGTTTCAGTCCCGAGGCTTAATAGGCCCCCAAGTGATAGAGAAAAAAGATAAAGTCAGTAGGTGGTTCCATGAGATATTTACTTTGCCTATAGCAAGGTTTGATAAGCTTGATGTGTTACATTGCAAAGGCCCTGGAAATCTTTTGCAAAGACCCTTAATAGAGACTTCAGAAATAATCAATCACACTAGATACACTGCCTATGCAACACAAACAGCTATGAAGGCACTTTCAATGTTTGATTACGGTGCACTTAAATTCCCCAATGGATGTTCAGAGGTGCAGCTATCATGCATCTTTGACCTCAGAACTTCCAACTAATTCTGTATCAGATCCTGCGATGGATTGAACCGTTTTACATGGACCTAATTCCCATCTGGTTTACCTCACATGGTTCTTTGATTCACATGAGACGGAGAACCTGCAATCGCGGCATGATAACTCACATGGTGAAGCCCTTGTCACTGCTATCGGAAGAGTGCCTTGGCCGAATATTCTACCACATATTTGCCTTTTCAAACTCAACGTGAGTTTCTCTTTAAGAACTGACAGGCACGATCCTTTGCCACTTTGTTTGAAAAGACGTATATGTCTTGGGGAAAACAGATAGTTCATTGTTACTGATACTCCTCGACATGATTGCTAATCAAAGTCATCCCCATACTGCTTCTTAAAACACAAGAACAACCGACCACCCCACTAGCTGCATTCAGAACTATTTCAGAGCCTGGAGTTACTGATAATACCAAGGAAACATGGCACCAGACAGTGTTCTTCCAAGCTACTGTTGTTGGTCTCTGTGCCGTCTTTACCCCTGGACTATACAATGAAATGCAGTCAACTAGAGTAGGTGAGCAGCAGACTCCATAATTGACAATTTCGATAGTGGCTAGGAAAAAGTCATAATCGTCCAGATTTTTCGTTGGAATAAGAAACGGAAAGAAGCTCAAGTGACTTGTTAGCAGCTCTGCAAATGCCGTTTCAAGAGCTATGGCTATTGTTACATGGTCGACGGAAAGCCGCATAGCCAACAGCATTGAACTGAATACCGCATAAATTTTCGGTATAAAAGGCCAGTAAGCACGGTAATGAATCCCCTTTCGAAAGTTGCAGGACCCTTGGTTGCTATCAGTGGCATATGCTCGCAACGCGCGTTGAGATCATAACTTACTCTTTGTCATCTTATCCACTGCCTCGACAGATTGTTCCGGTTGAAGCTGGCGCATACTTGGTCTGCCTAAAAGAGAAAACCAGTGTCAACTTGGCCCGCCAATCATGTTGCATAAACTGGACCAATAAAGTTGAATAGCCAGCGATACCAAGGATGTCAATCTTTGCGTGAAAAGCCATATGTTAGAGACCCTATGAACAGTATGCCTGCTGAATCTTACTTTCCAACTTTCTGTATCTATTTAGTAGAGATGTCGACGGACAGTGGCCGTATGTCGTCGCTTCTGTCAGGGGTTTCCGACTATCGCGCTTGGTAAGCCCCACGCTGGGCCGGTTCCGGCGTTGCAAAATACTCCGGAAGTAACACGGTGATTGATGGCATAGGAGAGTGGATGCTGTACAAGCACCTCATCGAAAGGAAAGTTTTCGTGACACTTGAATCCCCCTCTCAGATTTCGCCATGGACTCAAGCCTTTCTTCATCAACAACATTCGACTTCGATCGCCGTCCTTAAGGAGCCCGAAAGCCACGCCATTGAGACGCAATCAGCGCACCAACGATTCCAACGCTGAAAACAAGTTCCGACATTAGCAAGACGAGCGAGATATTCACCATGTCGGGGGCCTCTTGGCAAGAAGATTTCAAGACGAATGGCTTTGCGGTGATTCCATCCGTGATATCTCGCGACAAAGCGGCCGAGTACCAAAAACAAGCCTTTGATTGGCTTGTGTCGTTCGACAACCCCGCCCTAGACCTGTCCAAGCCTGCGACCTGGACGTCTGAGAACCTCCCCTTCATCTCGAGTATCAACACTTTCCATCACTATGGAGTCGTCCATGAAAAGTTCATGTGGGACATCCGCCAAGAGCCAGGGGTCATTGACGCTTTCGCCAAGATTTGGGACACCGAGAAGCTCATCGTCTCGTTTGACGCCCTGAACATCACGCTCCCTAGAAGGCCAAACCACGTCCCTAGGACGAAATGGCCGCATGTCGACCAAAGTCCATTCAGAGAAGGGTTACAATGCGTGCAGGGCATAGTGAGCCTGTCCAAGGCGGGGCCCGAAGACGGGGGCTTGACGGTGTACCCCGGGACTCACAAGGCCACCGAGCAATTCTTCCGCGAACATACGGACCGGGCCCAGTGGACGAGGAAGGACTTTTTCGCTTACACCCCGGAGCAAATTGCCTGGTTTGAGAGCCAGGGCTATCGAGAGCACAAGGTCGTCGCGGAGCCGGGTGACCTTATCATCTGGGACTCGCGGTTGATCCACTACGGTGCGGAACCGACGGCCAAGAGCGACACGATTCGGACCATCACCTACGTTTCGTACGCGCCGGCGTCATTTGCGACCGCCGATGCACTGGACGCAAAGAAAAAGGCGTTTGAGAAATGGCTAGCTACGACGCATTGGCCGCACGACAACATCGCCCCGAGAACCAATCAACCCACTCTTCCGGACGGAACGATTGATACACGAAGGTCGGAACCGCGAGAGAAGCCAGAGCTGACCGAACGGTTGCTGAAGCTGGCTGGTGTACAAGCCTACTGATTAATCGAAGAGCGTGCTAGGTCTGCTCACTCTGACGAGGTTCTGGACCAAACACAGACGGTACGGTAAGCTCCTGCACGAGATTAAGGGTTCATGGGATGCCGTAATCACTGTTGGCAAGGCTTTCTCCAGGCTGGACAACATTTTTTGACATCGGAATGAAACACGTATTTTATGTATATCCTAGGGTTTCCAGCTATCGAGATTTTACAAATATGCCAGTATGGGTTTCGACTTTGCCAGCTCTTGTATTACTGTTGCGAGGTGGCCACAATGGCTTCGTATCCACAAAATGTCGAGCAAAACGACGTCGACAGAATCACGGCTGTGCGATTCGGAATTCTGATCCTGAATTGAAGGGTTGACTTGCCAGCCCAGTACAATTCTGATGTTTGGTTAGCACGCTCAACATGGCATTGCACAACTTTTTGGGAAGGTGCTTTTGCTTCGTCTGTTCCGCCGTCGATAAATCGCTATCTCGGGGACTATTATCACCGATGTCGGGACGTTTGCGGAGCCCTTAAGTTCCCCATCCTAGTCGTCTTCAATCCCAACCTATCATTGGACGTCTTCATATCAGAGTCCTCGGGCGGAACACATATTAAACAATAGAGCACACTCGGCCGAGCCAACTCGGCGGATAGCGCCCGCCATTGCATTTCATACACCGTTCATCGACGCGAGCACGCGTCACTCTCTGGAATCAAAACTCGCAATGGGTGATCTTCTGGACCGGCCGAGCCCGCTGGCTCAAGACGTGCTTTTGTTAGTTCTCGCGGCGCCGGAGAACACGGCTTGGAAACGCCGGGTCTTGGAGCGCTTCCCCGGTCTCGAGATTCGTTGGGTGAACAGCAGCAAGCCCGGCGGCGGCTACATCGTGCCGGACGAAGTCCCGGACGAGATTTGGGATGGCGTGACGATCTTCTTCTCGTACATACCTGCGTCAGCGCAGCGCATGTCGAAGGTCCGCTTCGTGCAGGCGTCATCTGCTGGGGTCGACCTGTGGGTGGGCCATGAACTCTACAAAAACCCAAATGTCTCATTTTGCACGACGAATGGATGCCAATCGTGAGTGAAAATGACTGGTTCTGCAACATGTGAACCTAAGAAGCCCTGCTGAAAGTGATATCATAGACCACAAATTGCTGAATGGGTCATTGGCACCTGGCTGTCCAGCCAGCATCACTTCCAGCGATATGCTGATAACATGAAGGAAGGTTTCTGGGAAGGGGCAGAGGCTGTGGATATTGAAGACTCGGTCGGTCTCCGGATGTAAGTCATGTATCAAATTCCGGCCGTCAGTGCCTTCCACTGACCTTGAGCGATGAACAGGGGCATATTGGGCTATGGTGCGATTGGCCGTCAGTGTGGCAAGATCGCGCAGGCAATAGGGATGGAGGTCTATGCGTACACGAGAAGCGACCGGTCGACGCCCGAGTCCCGCAGGGACGACAGCTACTGCATCCCCGGCACCGGAGACCCGGAAGGGCTCATCCCGGCCAAGTGGTTCCACGGCTCGTCCAAAGAGTCCCTCAACAACTTCCTGAGCCAGGGCTTCGACATCCTGGTCCTGTGCCTGCCGCTAACAAGAGAGACCAAGGGTTTCTTTGGCAAAGAGCAGTTCGACATCTTGTCCAAGCGCAAGACGTTCGTCTCGAATATTGCCCGCGGTGGGTTGGTCCAGAACGACGCCTTTGTTGAGGCCCTCGAAACAGGGAAGATCCGGGCCGCCGCGGTAGACGTGACGGACCCGGAACCGCTCCCGAAAGACCACCCACTGTGGAAGGCTCCGAATGTCTTCATCACACCCCATGTCAGCTGGAGGACCAAGGGGCATTTCGAGCGAGTCTTGGGTCTGTTAGAGGCGAATTTGGAACGGTTGCACAGTGGGAAGCCTCTTATCAATGTTGTTAACAGGGACTTGCACTATTAATGCTCCCCTGTAGGAGGGGCGCCAGCGTCAGAAGACAACTCTGTGCACACTTCGTTGAATGTTTACTATCCGAAATGCAACTGACCGTCCTTCTAGACTCAGTATCGTTGCTTCTTGAAAACTGATGACTTGATGCTGTAGTGCCGAGGGCAATATCTGACTACCCCGACGACCGAACCGTAGCGGCCTCTGCTAGGGTTGCCCCTAACCTCGTTCCAGCACCCCCCTCTCAAGATACTATCACTCACTATTCATGGGCCTTGAAGTTTATCCACCCCACGGAAGAGAGAGAAAACAGCTCATCCGAGGCTTGATTAGTTTGAGTAGAGTAGTCTTGAGATCGAACTCCTTGAGGGTCAAGTCCTCGAGGAGATTGAGTATATACCCGTTTGGTATGTAAGTGTGCACGTGCTCGTGGTATCCTGACCGTCGATTCAGTGTGAGGCTCGTGATACCATTCGTATTCAACCCAGCGTATCCAGCCCAGGATATCCAACCTACATATCTAGCCCATGCATCCAGCCATTACGTATTTTATCCCATCTTGAAGATTATATAACCTTGAGAGAACTACAGTATGTACCACGTACTCTATGGCTTTCCTTATTACTTGCTAGTAGATAAAGGTTACTTGAGGGGTAGCGCCTGCCTTGAAGAAAGTAATGCTAGCTCTGTTTTGCTTTGCTTTTGATGGGGAAATCGCTAGCAAAGCAAAAACAAGCTACAGGAATGCATTCGATATCTCTTTTTAGAATCTTGGGGATTATGACGAGCCATTCTCGTCTTGTGGCTGGCCTTTGATACGAGCACAGTCGAATGCAATTGGCTGAGGAGCACCTGGCCTCCCCAAATAGGTAATTTCAACGCCATACATGTATGGCATCTCGCGACAGGTTGATTTCGCAATGATATTACCCCCCTCCTCAACTCTTGCTGCGCCTAAACGTGGACAGACCCGGTATTGCCGATATCATTTGTCCTAGCCGTAGAGCTCAAGAAATCCGCCTTCTGGGCACTCCGTTACCGTACGTAGCTCCTAGACTCGGAACGCCCCGAGCCCAGTACTCCACAACGGCTCTTCATCTGATCCATCTCGGATGGCGGATCTCACCCAACACCGCATCCGACTCCTGACACAAGCTCATAAAAGCAAACGTGGTTGCTGCTGCTGCTATTGCCGCTCTCCTTTAAGATGCTCTCGCCAGGGCCGCTTCAACCGGATCTCGGCCTTGCCTTTATTTCTCAACTCGAGACTGTAAAGCACAGGTCCCAAGCGAGGACAATAATAACAAACACTTCCCCCGTTCGCGCGACCAAAACCAAGTACACAGTCCGGTAGCAAGAGAAGAAAAAGTGGCCGCCGCCACCGCTGCCACCGCCCCCGACGGCATACAAGACCTCCCCGAGATCTACTGCCTTGTCTGGGTCGCCCGCAACCCCGCCGGGCTCACGCTTCTTCGCTGAGGACTCCTGAATGACGTACCACGGCGCCCTGATCCACATCCCGTTCCCCTTCCTCGAAGGCCACCACAGGCACCGGAACGGCGCGTACAGGGACTTCAAGGTCCATGCAACCGAAAGTACCCTGTCTACTGGGGCACGGCGTTGAGGGTTAATGGTACTGCAGCCTCCGCACTGTCAAGAAAGGCGTCCTCGTCAACGACCTAGGCTGATGCAAGGCCACGAGCCTACTGTTCCAATATTTTGAGGGTTATCAATTTAGAGGTGACGGACAGCAAGATCGTGCAAGCGAACTAGTGGTTAAGGGTTCCCCCCGAGGATAGCTTGTCTCTTGATAATCCGATTACCATCTCAGAGGAGAGAGTCTGGACGAAAGTCCTTCATAAAGAAAACTATAGATGCGTGTCAGGAAGTTGACAACTCGGCAGACCGGTCCCAAGACAAGGCGTTGAATGGACTGCAAGGACGTGAGCGAGAAATGTATTCCCGAGGGGGACATAAACTAGTAAAGAGCGTACTTTTATATACATAATCCATCGTCCACCATGACCGTCGTCTATATTCCTCGTAAATTAAAGTATATATGAAGTAGGTCCTTAGACGCTAGAAATGGAAGAAAAACTCGCTTTTATTTCATGGAGTCGGGACTCCAAAGGGGGTATTATCGCCAGCTTCCAATCTTTAAACAACATTTCCGCGCACCTGCTTTATCTTCTTGACGTTGATGTCGCGCCACATGGCGACGGAGCCCAACGCACCAACCAAGAGAGTTACACTAGTGATGAGCATGATGCGCTGCGAGTCACCGTAGGCTTTCTGAATGCCAATGCGCTCGGGAGTTCCGACGGCGTATGAAAGCTGGCTGTAGATGTCGTTGTATATGGTGTCGACCGGAGTGCCGGGGGGAGTGTACTTGACTATGTTCTTCCTGAACGTGCCGGTCCAGATGGCGGTAGCAACGGTGTAACCGACGGTCGAACCGATACTGCCGAAGAGATCAAGGATAGCCATGATGACAGCAACGTGCTGGTGGTCGGAGGGCGACAGCATGGCCATCTCACCACAGATGACGAGGGGGCCACCGGCAAAAGCGACAAAGATCTGGGTCATGACAATGTATCCAATGGACTGGTCTGGTTGGCGGAAGTGGATCATGAGACCGACGCCGAGCATCATCAGAGGAATGAGGAAGTACAGAGCGAAGGGCTTGAAGCGTCCCGTCTTGTAGATCAGAGTAGAGATGATGACCGAGAAAAAGCAGGAGCCGGTGCGGTAAATGTTGCTGATGTAGGTGGCCTGCGAGACAGTCGTGTCCCAGACAACCATGAGCATCGAGGTGAAGAAGGAGCCCCAGACAGCCGAGTTGAAGAAAACAAAGACGAACATCAGGCCGCCAAAGAATACGGTTCTGTCCATAAGGAGTGAGAAGGGGATGAAGGTGACAGGTGCCAAAAACCTCTCGTAGAGGACGAATCCGATAATCAAGCAGAAGCCAACTACGATGAAGGCAATGATGAGGGGGGAATTCCATCCATCGGACTGGTACGAGTAGATGTTGAACGGCAAGAGGAACAGGGACATGCCGGTGGCGAGGATCAGAATACCGAGAGCGTCGATGTCAATGAGGAACTTCAGAACCTTGCTTGCAGAGATGTTCTTGATCGATCCACGGTCTTCAATGAGACCCATCTTCTTCGCCTTGTGTTGATTCCAAAGGAAAAGAAGAACAAGGGGACCGACAACGGCGGGGGCAATGATTGCCCACATGCCCAAGCCCCAGCGCCATCCCATGCCTCCGCTGCTAAGAATGCTATCGGTAATGGGGCCGGCCGCCCAGGTGGTAAAGATGTAGGGGGTGGTTGCGAAGGAGAGCATGAGAGCTCTGCTCTTGAGGGTCGAGGTGTCGGCAATGAAGATAGTGATGCAGTAGCTGATACCCTGGGATCTATAGAAGCATGTTAAAGGCCGTGTCTCTGGTGAACGGTGCTGCCTGACAGGACTTACCCAACAGAGTAGAAAACTTGAGCAGCGGCGTAGGTCTCAACGTTCTTGCAGGCAGCCATCATGATGAATCCGAGGACCCAGCAAAGCAGCATCAAACCCATGCCCTGAGGACGACCCCAGGTATCGAGAATCTTGGCCAGCGGCAACTTGATGAGACCAGCGATGAGGGTGGACATGACGCTAGTCGTCGCTGTCAGCGATTGCAAGGCGAAGGTGCTGGTGACGAAGGGCGACAAGACACGCATCGAGACTTCCTGAATGGAAGTGACGACATAGAACAGCCAGATGCTGTCGATATTATTAGGCCTCCTTGTCAAACATTAATATGGCAGTGACTTCTGGAAAATCTTACAGGACATAAGCTGCAATCAGATCGCGCTTGGTCCAGACAGAGGTCATGGCCTCGACCTTGGCGACACCGGCCTGGACATCCTTTCCGATGGGTTCGTCATCGCTTGACCTCTCATCGGGGTGCTCGCCCGTCTTTTCGTTGAAGGCAGCCGGCGTCGCGGGGTCAGGAGTGACATGCTCCTCCGGAGCTTTCTTGGAGAAGACGCCCATGGTGTTCAAAGGGGCTCGTCCTTCGTGTGCTCGGGGACGTCAAAGCAACAGAGCAGTGATCAAGCTTTTTGCTGTCGATGGGAGCAATAGGACCAGGGGACGCGAGAGAGAGAGTTTGGGTGGGCAGGAGCAGCCTCTATGTATTCAGGACAAAGTCCAGGGGGGCATCTCGTCTGCCAACATGCTTGGGATCCATGCAAGCACCGTCGGCTCGGCGATGTGAAAGTGATGGAGGGTCGACAAGGTGCCACCACTACTAGGTAGTCTAGGGACGGCTCTCGCTCTCCACTATCACGCAGCAGTGGCACCAGCTCGTTCGTGTACAATGCCCCGCTGCGGGTGTCCACCATAAGCTATGGAGGGGGTGGGCCAAGACCCACTGGGACTCAAGGGTCAGTGGCGGCCGAAGTAGACTTTGTCCGTGTTGGAGGGATTAAAAAGTCAAGCCAGACCTCATGGATGCCGCAGGGAAGAAATCGGACAAGCCCGGCGAAGCTAGCGTTGGGGGTTCGATAGGCGCGCAGATTCACGGATTGTGGGCGATAAGAAACAAGCGGAGTTGGCCCGGATTGTTGGTTGGCTCGAACGATGTGGGAGGGAGAGGGGGAGGTATTCGTTGGAACAACCGGAGAAGGGGGTTCTTCGGTCGATGAAGCGACAACGAGCTGCCGTAGGTAATGAAAGGACAGGGTTAGACTAGGCACGCCTGATTCAAGTCGTGCAGGTGTGCATCATTGTCATGTGTGGCAGCTCGTGAGCGGATGTGCCAGAAGACGTTGTGGCTGCAGGTTGGTTGCCACTTTTGACTCGAAGGCGGGTCGCATGGCAAGGCGGCATTGCTATCGTCGCATCGGCGCAGGCAGCACATGTTTAAATCTGGGCGGGAATCGGCTCGCCCCATAGCTGGTTGAGAGCCGAGTTCTGGCCGCCATCCATGGCGGTTAGGTAGTGGGCTGGTTGAAGCATGGCAAGACGCTCGGGCCGATGGTCTTTATTCCTTGAGGGATCGTCGACCTGCGGATGTAGTACATGATACCCAATAGTGTATACATACATACTATGTAGGTTCGACGCTCTGGTACAGATGCAGTGGTGGCGTTTGCTGCTCGGTGGTAGCTAGAATCGAGACATGTCGCTGGTCTGTTACGCTCGAGTCTCGGGTCAGCGACTGTTGGATCTGGCGGTTGGACGATGTCGATGTCCGGTGTGCCAAGGGACGTAAGCAGCAAGCAAGAGGCAGAGGAGAGGTGGCAAAAGAAAAAGGTTGACTTGATTGATCGTGTTCAGGGTCAGTACACATGAAGACGACTGGGGGGACTTTGGGGACGGAGACGGGGGGCGGGGATGTTGCCTCTCCCGCGCTTTCCCTTTTTGGCAGCTCGCCGTCCCTGCCTGCGCCATAAGCCAGGCTACAAAGCACGGAGAAGGTAGGAACGTTGAGGACATTGACCGAACCGAGAAGGAGCGAGCAAGATGCCGTGAGCAGGCAGGAACGCGCACCGCACGGAGAGAGGACCCACTCATGCAGGGATAAGCTGCTCATCAGGCAGCCCGTTCGTTGGCCGATTTCCCTTAGCGTCATTTTAAGCGGTGGAGCCGATACAAAATGGCGCCGGAGCAGATTTTTTATCTGATGTGGGCCCGCTTTTCCCAATCTTATCAGATCATCTGACAACAGGCACAGAGAAGCATCCGCCATTTCCATTTCTCAACACAGTAGCCGACCCCCCTTCTCCCGAGTCACGTTCCATCACCCGTTTGTTCCTCGGCACGCACAATCGGCCGAGCATTGTTTCCGCTTCCATCCATCCATCCATCCATCCATCCATGCATTCCCACATCTTCTGGCCTACCCACAACTCCGTACGGATACCAACACCCAAGTCCCGACCCAGAGAAAATGATGCCAACTCTTAGCAATTGACCCTTGGCTCTTGGCATCCGCTTTCTTCCTGCATCGAATCCCGTGTATCCGAGCCTTCGTGGGTAAAGTGTCGACCTGCAGAGGAGGCCAAGGCAGCCATGGCTGACAACTCGGAGTCTTACTGTGTCCCTCGTTCACAACTATCAACCATCACAGATGCCAGGCCTGTTTGCAAAATGTCATACACTTGCTTGTTTAGCTGTCACTATATGCCTCTTTTTCCTTGGCTTGTTCCGGACCTTGTCATGGCCCGCCCGATGCCTTCCGACCGATTGCAGCCCAGCCGCTTATGCTGCAAAAACCAATTTTTACCTCACATCATTACCACGGTTGGGGAATAGCTCCGGCCTTCGGCCTCTCAAGCTTACGGACTCTTCTCGTAAACGCCCCGCAGGTGCCGCTGCTGTGTCACCCAGAACTCTCGTCGAGCGGTTTAACCCTGCATCCCTGCCGTCGACGGCTGGCAGCAAATCCCACGAAGGAAGTCTTGTCTACACTAGTCTTGGTACGCCGTTTTTGTTTGGGCCTAAGGCACCAAGGCTGAGGATTAAGGGCCCTGCGGCATACAAGGGCATTTCTTACACCCACATATTTTAGCAGAAAATCCTAGACTAGACAAGCAAGCCACGCAGTGCAAGATGCTTTCACAGCAGGTGGATAACCAGGCCCTTGACCAGATGGCCTTCCTACCAGGTGTCGTCATCTCAGAACATCAGTGGAGGTTGACTGCCACGACGTGTAAGGACAGCAAAATGGTAAGGATAGGATTATTGCAAATAAGACGATTGTCTTATTACATTTGTGGACATGACACCGAGAAACAGCTTCGAAGGGAGATTTGTATCGCACATCAAACGAAAAGATCACGGATACACATATTTTGCACAGAGCTCTGGCAAGTATGAACTGGTCAACACGGTAGCATCACCATGGTTCTAGGTGGCTCCTTGCCACTCTCATCATTCTGCTGGTGTCCCTACAGAATGTTGGCTTTTGTCTCGGGCCAAGTGTCTAGGCCGGCACTGTATCGGACAACTGGGCCGTCTATCCACAACTAATTAATCTCTATCGAGAAGCACCAACAGGCCATGTCATACCTTTCGTTTTGACGCTCCGGTTATAGAATAAATGAAGCTAATCCGAAAGTCATCAATAAGATGGTGACTTGTCCAAAGGCCAGGGGTATAACGGATTGGGAATTGGCGGTCGCCACAGTACTTGGAGCTACGAGTGTTTGTTATTAGCGTCGTTTAATCTTACACTGATTATGGAATTAGGGGTGATGTGCTCACATATACTGGCTCGGGCATTTGGTCCGCCGTTTGAGCCTGAGCCTGGGCCTGCGCTGGAGCCAGAGCCTGCGCCTGCGCTGGAGCCAGAGCCGGAGCCGGAGCTAGAGCCGGAGCCGGATTCAATGGGGTTGGAGCTAGAGCCGGAGCCGGATCCGATAGAGCCGGAACTAGACCCGGAGCCCAGGTCAGAGCTAAAGCCAGGGCTAGACCCAGATCCAGAGCCGCTAGTAGAAACGTTAATAGGGCTACCCTGGGGCTCAGTAATAGGGCGAGTAATAGTAGCAGTAATAGGCGTTGGCCCACAGGTGTTGCAGACCTGGATGTCCCTGGTGAAGCCGAGTGGCAGGTCGGCAGAGAGAGAGAGGAGGGTTGGCACTGTAGGTATTCCCTTGTACGTTTCAGTGCACTCGTATGTCTGCCGGGTAATACCAGTGGGGCAGAAGGCGTCATGCTCAGTAGTAAACTTAACAATCTGCGTATACGTGTTACAGCCGCAGCGATGGCACTCTGGGGCCTCAATCTGAACGCGGATAGGCCCACCAGTGACAGCGGGCAACTGGATAGTTGGGACCGGCGTGCAGCCGGCGCAGGTGGGGACCACGCCGCCAGTGGCGGTGACACGCTGGGTGACAGTAGCAGTTCGTATGGCAAGGACAATCTGCTGAGCGGCTGCAGCAGGGTTCAGAGCCAGAACAGCCGCCAGTGGAAACTTGGCTTGTCGCATTGTGACGTGGTTGTCGCCGACAGCGACTGCAAGGTGGTTATTGTGCAGCGCAAAACAAAAGTTCCGAGTGAGGGTTTTGTTTAGAAGCGAGCGTGTTCAAACGAGTGGACGGTGCCCAATAGGCTCACGAGCTTGAGTAGGTGATAGATTAATGCTGAGCACTGTAGGAGGCTGTCGACTTTCGTCTTCAACAGGAACAGACCGGTGTTAAGTAGTACAACAATATCAACAACAGTAACAGCAAAAACAATAACAGCAATGATAAAAATATGTCGAGATTCGCTACGGCTGAGAAGACTAATAACCACAACTCTTGTTAGTGTAATTGAAATCTTGAAACTCATTGATAGGCAAGATGAAAGAAATTGACAGGCAAGATAAAAGTGATAACGAGAAGCCATCAGGCGCGTAAGGAAGCCCTTATGATTGGCCGAGACATAAGCGCTGGCACTTTGAGAGGGAGTGTTCTCGGGTACGCTTTGATTAGAATCAGCTGTCGACTCCGCTCGAACTGTCAGGTCTCTGTGCCGTCATTCCAAAGTTCATTTCAGGCGGTTCGAATGGTTCCTAAACTATGTATAGCTTAGAGTTTGCCCCTTGGGTTCTTGTGGCCTCAATTACGAAAATGTTGTGAAGCTGGAATAGCTTTATGTGGCTAGTACTAGTTAGTACTACTATATATGTAGCGTACTACCTGCACAGACTATGTAAGAAGGGTATTTCTACTGCTTCTCTAGCTTATAAGTAGATTCTTAATAGGACAACTACTTTACTCTTAAATAACCAGACGCTGCAGTTCATCACAGAAAACGACTGGTTGTGTAACTGTTTCTCTCCCTTGCATTCACTCGATTCATCTTCCATTGCACGTCTACAAGAAGAACGATGTATGTATTCATGCCATGTGATATAGCTTCCTAGCAAACTCGTGTGGTATCTGCGTGACGTTTGTATTTATACCCCATCCAAGCATCGCCTTTTGGGCTATCATGAGCCAAGACGTCATCCACGCCCGTCCGAATCCACCGACTTATGTAGTCACCCGATCCTTTGCTTTTTCCTGTCTTCATCCTCTTCCTCCGGCCCCTGCGTCTATACAATTGTTAAAACAATGGCCAAACGACATGCTCTATTATTCCTCCTCAGTCTCATTTCCCGAACCGGCGATGCAGCTACCTTTGGCCCGGCCGAGCTTGCCAGGGCCCTGCCTGAGACGTATTGCTTCACGTACCTGTCAACTTTCCTCGAGCTGGCTTCCCTCCCGACCGCCGCCATTCCTCCTGGCGCCACTGTGACTGTCATCGGGGGAAGTACTGTCACCATCCCGAGCGTCATTGGGGGAACCACCGTCGACGTCCCAGGCCCCGGAGCCACAACCACCGTCTCAGGCGCCGGAACCACCGTCACTGTCACTGGCGCCGAAACTACCGTCAGGCCTTCTCCCTCCGCTTCAGCCAGAGCCGTCTCCGTTCCCATCATTTTCTTCGTCAACGCCGCACCCGCAACCAACCGAGGCCCTCAGAAGCAAGGCCTCCAGAAACGAGACTACGGCGGCTTCCTAAACAATGAAGTCGCCAACAACCGCGGCAGTTGCGACTTTGCCTCCAACTTCACCATCTCCGCTCTAGGCCAGCTCCTCGAAGCTGGCAACCCCGTCTTCTACATCCCAGGCGAGACCTTTAAGGAAATGCGTAGCGCCGGTGTCCCACCCCCTAACGCTATTACTGGCACCTTTGACAACAACAATGGTGTCCTCCGCATTGTCAACCCGGAACTCCCTAATGGCGAGGCAAACTTCTGCCAGGTTTTGACCGGCCAGGTCTACCTCACCTTCAACTCCACAGGGCCACCTGGCTGCCAGCCTGTCCTCCTTTACGCCTATAATTGTAAGTTCTGTACCTAATATCCACTTCGGGCACAGATGATCCCAAGTGACTCACAAGATAAAATTGCTGATATGGTAAACAAAAACAGCTAATCTGCGTATCAACGGCCAACTTGTTGGCGTCTCGCTTCCCACGGGGTCATTCCCTTCGCCCTCTTCTTCGTCTGTTGCGCTTACTGCGTCTACTTCTTCAACGTCTAATTCGTTTACCACCATCACGTCTGGCGCTTCTACGGCACCCAGTTCTGCTACGGCATCCCTCACTTCTACTAGTGTGTTGTCGGGCTTTTCTATCAGCTCTGCTTCTAGTTCTTCCACGCGTAGCTCTTCCACCAGTTCCACCTCTGGCATTTCTACGGATTCCACTTCTGCTACGACATCTGCCGCTTTTACAAGCACACCGTCCGACTCTATCAGCTCTGCTTCTGATTCTTCCACAAGTGTTTCGCTTGACTCCTCCACTGCCACCTCCTCTCAGTCTTCCGGGCGACATCCGCATCCTCAACAGATACATCTACATCTACATCCTCAACAGAGGAATCTACATCTACCTCCTCAATAGCGGCATCTTCATCAACAGAAACATCTACCTCAACAGAGGCGTCTACATCAACACAGGCATCTACATCAACAGAGGCATCTACATCAACACAGACATCTTCATCCACATCCTCAGTAGAGACATCTTCATCAATATCCTCAACAGAAACATCCACATCATCTGCTACGCCTACAACGACGAGTGTTGTCGTGTGCTAATACGCCAAATAGCTTTACTTTATCAAATGGACGCCAGGTTTTGAAATATTGTGGGCAATTGAGATATGGAACTTATGATTTGGGAAGTTTTAACTACTTTTAGTAATCCATTTTAGCATGCGGTGAGACTTGTATAACAAATCATCCATCCTTTGTTGCATTTACCATAGCGCGATTTTGAACGAGAAGACTTGCCTGCTATTGCGGAGAGGGACCCATTACGGACTATGGCCCTTGAACCATATGTTGACTCGTTTGTCCTCGATAACACGATTCCTACATAGCACGAGTCCTTAATAACATGATCTGACCTCGTGGTTAACCTTGGAGGGCACCTGCTCCCAGAAGGAAGAAAGGGTGGCGGCCGGCGGATTTTACGGGCGGCAAGGGAAGCAACAGACGGAACAAAAGAGAAACATAGGGGAATCAGGCCATTGCCAGTGGTATTATGTGCCTGCCATCAAGGTCGTTGAAGAGTTTGTCTGTGATTTCTCCGACGAAGTTCAGCTTTCACGCCTATACCCACCGATCCTCCGGGAACAGGACACCAGTGGTGTATGCGAAATTGAATACGGTTCATGTGGAATGAAGATCCTTCATGCTCGTTGGCGCCGACCTAGGGGGGGTATCGAAGCCGAGAACATTGAGACAGACTAACGTAATCAAACATCACAAGGGCCCTCCGTATTTGCGACATCGGCCCACCATATGGAATTTCGTGAGATTAACCCTACATCTAAGTGACCTGATAATGACTGACTGATATAACTTCCCTTTTCAATGAAAAAAAAAAAAAGAAATTCACATTTGTTCAAATTCTTTACGAAGTAATATCGTTTTATATTTATATTTACTGGAACGTTGGATGCTACAGGAGCGGACAACACTGACAAGGGAACGGTGACTGAAGGAGTACTAACAGTGATGCGAAGGCATAGGCTGTATTATTCGACAGACACTATATTTAATGAGGATTCATTACTGTGAGTTCGTGTTTCCCTGTGCGAGTCCAAATCTCTGTCATCAAGTTTGCTGATATGGTGACGGGATTAGCACAATATTAAGCAATGTGAGTTTCAAGTTGGCTCGGAAAATACCTTCGGGTATAATAGAGACATTTACAGGCTTGCTCCATATGCATCTCCTGTGAGCATTGATTGCGATAGTAAATTCAGATTTCGTGTTCCGAGCAAGCTGTTGATCAGTACCTAGTTGTTTTGTCGATGAGCAGAGACTGTTGCAAACAGTGCAAATCTAGCGTTAGGAGCTGAAAGGGCATATTTACAGTCATGAGAGCGCCAATACCGTATTATGAAGCCACTTGGCATTGTCTTGCATATACCAGAGACCTAAAAAATATGTAAGGTTCCGGAATATCACAACATCATGCCATTCCGGCAGTCATTGAAGTCGTCTGAAGCGTAAGCCAATATCCATTTGAATTGAATCATAGAATGTGGGTCTTATTCTGCGCCCTTGCTCATTCTTAGCCCTCTTTCCGTAGGAGGCCAAACTCAAGCGTTTATAATACGATTTTAGTGTTTGTTGATGACAGCGCTGGCTCGTTACGAACTTGGGAGCCTCGCGATCCCTTACATCACCGACGCACTCAAGTGCCTTCTTGTCTTCATCATGCCAGCGGGTAATAACCGCAACAGGTTTCAAAGTGTAGACTAAGACCTAGGAAAGAAGCATTGCGTTGTGCGCGCATTTTAACCAACGTTTACTACACCAGGCTAAAGTCGCAAGATGAGAGGTCCAAAGCCGATTTAGACGGGTGGTGATGTCATCCCGACATGATCATCACTAACTCCTTTCCCCACGCCGATTGACTTTGGCAAGACTCGGGACGGCTACGTCATGCAGGCCCGTTCTAGAACTCCATGTGTAGGTAGATGACTCTATTTCAACACAACGAGTGTTTGTGCGGCGATCCCACCGCCCGACACTACATTATTACTGCGCATGCTATCGATAAACACAGGCCCCGTCACGCGCCATTCACGACCCAAGCACAATCACGTTACTCGCTGACGTAAGTCAAAGCACCCACTTTCCGATCACCCCCACATTGCAATCATGTATATCCACCCCTAGCCACCACTAACCACCTTATATATATTATTACTACTTTTATAGTCTATATCTAAATAACTTTATTTTTTTATAATATGTTCTTTATTACCCTATAGTTAAATATACTAAATCTGATATTGCCTAGGCAGCAGATACTGTTACTGCTAGCAGCAGTATACGCTAAGCATCTAAGACCTATGGTATCCCTTTTACCACCCTCTAGAACTGTCTATCTAGTACCTAAAAGAGGTTAGCTACCTTTAAAGACCTCTAGCGACTATTAGCCACCTAGGAGGCTAATCTAGCCCTTTAGGTGACTGCCTAGGCTGACCTTAGGCTGCCACTAACCTATTAACAACTAAAGGACTTTATCTATTATATCCTCTAAGCAATAGGGGATACCTAGCCTCTAGGCAAGAGGTAGGTAGATAGCTTTATTAGAAGAAACCTATCTATTAAGGTCTAGAGAAGTTAATCTATTAATTTAAGGTGTGTTAATAAGGTATCTACTAAGGTTATTAAGGACTAGTTTAAATATCTTGTTATACCTTATATCTAAGGTATCTACCTAGCTAATAGATATAATATAGATAAGACTAGTATCCTTAAGGGTAAGGGAGATAATAGGCTAGTACTAGGTAAGGCTATAATAAAGGTAGTTATTACAGCTAGAGGGGTTATATAGGGGATATATAGATAGGAATAAGGTTATAGTGTAGTTTAGTAGTAAGTGTGCTATAGCTATAGTGGTCTATACACTACGCCTTAGTAGTAAGTGCGCTATAGCTATAGTAGTCTATATACTACGCCTTAATAGCTAAGGCCCTAAGCCTTAGTAGTTAGTATACCTATACCCTAGTAGCTAGTAAACCCTATAGCACTAAAGGACCTACTAAAGGGTAAGGGATAAGAACCCCTAGTTATAAGAACTATTAGGTGACTTATAAATAGAATATAGTATTACTACTATAACACTATTTAAAGGTTGCCTTTATTTTCTCTAGAGATAGAAGTATAATATCTTAAACCTTTTTTTCTTTACTAGACCTTAGCTTAGCCTCTCCTCTTTATTTCTTTATTCTAGGCTTAGTTATATGTTAGCTAACGCTACCTCTAAACTCCTTTATATTTTCCCTCTATTACTAAGATAGCCTAATCTACTAGTAGAGGCAGCCCTTTAGTATTTAACACTAAATTAATAACCCCTACTTAAAACCTTACCTCTAATTAATAAAGCACCCTCCTTCTAGATAATAAAGCTAAAGACCTATAAGAATTTAACCTTATACTCTACCTCTAAGAATTAAGCCCTAAATAATTCCTTACTAACACTAACTAAGCTACTTATAGTTAATACCTATAGCGCTATATTAATAGCCTACTTATACCTATTTAGGTTACTAACTAGTCCCTATTTAGTAATAAGAAAAAAAAAAGTTTACTAAGAAAATATTTAAGGCCTTATATAAGGAAAATCTAGCTAATTTATATAAGTAAGTATACTACTAACTTACCTTATGTTATACTTAGTAGAACTTAAAGCTTAAATTAAGCTTTATTATAAGCTACTATACTAATAACTTTAAATAACTTTATATCTATATATAAGACGTCTTTATAGTCTAAAAAAAGTAAAAAGATATAGTTAATACCTTAAAGTAAAAGCTTTATAAAGCCTATACTACTAATTTTACTTTAATAAATTAAATTAAGGTTCTTAAGAATTATAATACCTCTAGTAAGACTAGTAGCTTTATAAATAAGGTCCTTAAATAATAAATTACTTACCTAAAAACTTAGTTTTTATAAAAGAACTTTTTTACTTTCTTATTAGCTAGTAGGAATACTTACTATTATAAAAGTAAAGCTAAACTACTAAAGATCTTTATTTTTACTAAGATTAAAGATAATAAGAATAAAAAAAATCTAAAGTTTAACTACTAAATACTATATATTACTTATTACCTAAAGAATTACTTTTAGTAAAGTTAGGACTATTACTTTAAGTATATTTATAGCTATATTAGTAAAGATATTATAAACCTAATATTTTTTTTAATTAGTAAAGTAAACCTTATTATTACTACTATTAAGGATATTATTATAAAACTTATATTTATATACACTAGCCTTACTAAGGTAGATAAGGCTAAAAGTAAACTTAATACCTTTATAGTGTCTTTTAAGAATATTTACTAAAAAAGATCTAAATTTACTAAATATGCCTAGGTCTTTAGTCTCCCCTAGTTATAGTAAAAGTAACACTTTTATAATAAACTTCTTATTATTTTTTATAATAACCTTATTTAATAGTATATAGACGCCTAAATTAATTTCTAGTAGTATACTAAATATACTATTAAGATTACTTATATTATAAAGCCTTTAGCTACTACTACTACTAACTAGTTTAGTAAGGCCTATAGGTCTACTACTAGTTATACTACTAACACCTTAGTATTACTTAGTACTTTAAACGCTACTAAGTTTACCCCTACTAGTAAATAAACTAATAACTAAGATAAGATCCTTACTACTTTATACTAACGCCTTTATAATTCTAATACTTACTTTAGATATAAAGCTACTAACTATATAGCCTATAACTACCTTTATAAGCCTAAGACCTCTATTAATAAGATTAACCTATAGTAATATATAGAGGACGTTACTAAGGCTAAAAATAAAGAGGAGCTAAAAAATTAGGTTCCTTAGTAAATTCTAACTCCCTACTAAAAACCTATATAAAAAATAATTTAAAGTTATCTATATATTTAATTAATTTATAAAATCTTATTAAAGGTAACCCCCTAAAGATAAAGTTAACTATAGCTTTTAATAAATATAGTATTTAACTTTAAGTGCTTCTTAATATAAAAGTAAATAGCTATACCTTTATAAGTAACTAAGTAACCTCCCTACTAAAAGAACTCTATAATACCTTTTACTAAACTCTACCTAAACTAAT